CCTAGGTAAACAATTGATATTAGGAGCCAAAATCAGGCAAGGCCACTCTGACCAGGATGAATGAGACAGACAAGACCCGGCCCCCCCAGCCCTGTCTGAGCAGACAAAACACTATCTAAGCCAGAAAGCAGTGGACGCCCAGCAACTCACCACACATCACAGCTTGGGATATGAACCGCTCTGTAAAAACATGTACCCACAAAGATCAGAAGGGTACTGGGGCCAACCTAGCCATACACTGGTGGCCTCCTTCCACACACCCTCACCTCAGCTTCCCGAGGGCACCTGCTCAACGTCAAAGCCCTCCTCCAGAGGGACCCCGCGGGACCCCAGGTCCCCACCCACAGCAGGCAGGAGAGCCAGGCTGTCAGCCCGAGGGCTGTTCCCGGTGGTCTCTGGCTGGAAGACACCCACACAGCAAACGACGGACTCCCATGTATGCGCTTCACTTTTCCTAGATTAAGCCTGTTGTGTGTGTAGCAAATAAAAATAAAACACACAACGATGAGAAACAGACAGAAACGGTCTCCATATTGCCACGCGGGGCCACGGGCACTGTGAGCACACACCCTGGCTGGGGCTTCAGCAGACCCTCACTGCCCTCCACAACCACGGGAAGGTCGTGGGGGGGGAGGGCCCTTTTGGTTCTGCTTCACCACAGGACAAGGGCCCAGCGGCTGGGCAGTCAGGACATGTTTTTCTTTTGTTTGTTTATTTTGGTGGCCCTGTGCGTGCTAGAGGAGCACTGAGCGCGGAGCTAGTCTCTGGCCCTGGTGATGGTTTTACACTGGGTGCAATAATTCCTCAAGAGCTGGAATCCAGGCTCTGGAACACCAGGAGAGCTTCCCAGAGCTGACTCCCGGTCCTCAGGTCCATTCTGAGAACACAGCGGGAGGGGACAGGGAACGTCCACCCTCTGTCCAAACCCAGCTCACCTTCTTGCCGGGAATCACTATGCTCAAAAGCACATCGAGGATCTGAAATGTGCCTGGCATGCCCAAGGCGGGTGGGCAGATGCCAGCTCCCAGAGGTCAGGAACCCAGAGTGGGCACCGGCAGCTCTGAGTCCATCTCAGAGAGGAGAGGCCCCACATGTGGGGTAGGGAGCCTGTGACTTACCAACCAGCCCAGCTTCTCCCTCCAGGGAACACAGCAGGCTCTGCCTGGATGACAGGCCCTGCTCAAGCTGTAGGCTTAGGTCAGCAGAGGTGACATAAGTGACTTCTAGACTGGCCCATGAAAACCCACACCCAAAGTGTGCTCTGGATTTTCCTTTCCATTCTGAATGGGACCCCGCTGTGATAGTGGCCAGCCCCATGGGCAGGTTCTCCATCAATCGAGTTGGAGCCACATAGGACCACGTAAGAAATAAGTTCCGACTGTGTGTCACGCTTTTATCAAATCACCATGTGGCATACCTTGAATATATTCCATCTTCACCGGACGATTAAAAAAGAAATGTGTGGGCTGGGGTTGTGGCTCAGTGGTAGAGCACTTGCCTAGAACACATGAGGCCCTGGGTTCAATCCTCAGCACCATATAGAAATAAATAGTTAAGAATATCGTGTCCATCTGCAACTAAAAAAAAAAAAAAAAGTCAGCCTGTAATCCTAGTGATTTGGGAGGCTGAGGCAGGAGGATAGAGAGTTTAAAGCCACCCTCAGCAACTTAGCAAGGCGCTTAGCAACTCAGCGAGACCCTGTCTCTGAATAAGAAGGGCTGAGGATTGGCTCAGTGGCTAAGCACCCCTGGGTTCAATCGCTGGTCCATCCTGGGGATTGGAAAAAAAATGTCCATCCTGCTCAGCCTCTGTTATTTGGGGTGCATTTGTCGTAGTAGCTTTCACTGCCCTCCCTAATGGACTGGAGGTGAAATCAAACCCGCCTAGGGGATGAATTAAACTAAGCCCCATTGAGAACGGGCTTCAGCTTCATTCATCCAAGATAAACCTGCAACAACAAAACCCCCAAAGCACAGGTCAGGAACCGAGACCAAGGACAGCCTGAAAACTCCACCCGGGAACATGCTTCTGAAGCAACAGAAACGCAGTCAGCTGGAAAGACTAACCCCGGACTTTTCAGACAGACTATAGAACAAGGGATTAAAGGCACGACCAAAAGAGTAGATTGTTGAGCTCCCCTGGACACCCTGTTCTCCAAGACCAGCCAGACGCCAGCAGCCTTCCCGCGGAACACAGCGGTGCCACACATTGCAAAGCAGCAAGGCTGATGGGCCAGGCGCTGGCCACCCAGCCCAAACCAGGAGGCGAACACGGTCTCACCTTCCCACCCACACATCCTGGCTGCAAGAACTGCGAACGGACACGCTTCAGCAAGGAGAAAGATCAACCCCCAGGAACAAGCAGAGGAGACAAGGAGCCAAACAACACTCCCCACACACAGTGTTAGAAATCTAATCTGTTTTGTTCACTAAACTATTTTTAAGGGTTAAAAAAACCCTATATGACTGTGACGTGGAAGCCAGTGAGGGAATTCAAGGTATTCGGACGCGAGTCGAGGCACGTGGGCCTTGTTACTGCACAGAACCTCTAAGCCAGCGCGGGCAGGGGAGGCCAGGACAAGCACTTACGAACTGCCCCTCGTCGATGCCGATGACAGCCGCACCCAGGGCCTCCTGGGCCGTGTTCCGCAGCAGGCAGGCCGGCAGAGCATCCATGGTGTTCCTGGCAAGGGGAAGCCAGGGTGAGCAAGGCCGAGGGAGGGGCCCAGGACCAGATATGTGTGTGTGTGGCCCTCGTGTGGCACCCCCGCCTGCAGAGCTCTAGAAAGCCAGCCGTTAGGGGAAAGGCTCTGGGAGAATACAGGACCCTGTTCGGAAGAGCATCTGTTTACACAAGTCATCTCAAAGTCCAAGATGAGCCTGCGAAGCTCTTCTCTCCCGTGCCCTGGGCGGGGAGCGGGGGCAGACGGAGCCTGGGAAGCTCTACTCTCTGGTGCCCTGGGATGGGGGGCAGACAAGGCCAACTTTGGTTTTAGTCCTTTTGCAGTACTGGGATGGAATCCAGGGCCTCATGCATGCGAGGCCAGCACTCTACCACCGAGCCAGCCCAGGGGAGACTTCTCCATCAGGGATAATACCCACAATAGCTTTGGGGCCAACAAAATGTTTTCATTTCTTTTAAAATTCTGAATAGTCGGGTGTGGTGTCGCATGCCTATGATCCCAGCCACTTGGGAGGCTGAGACAGGAGGATCCTGAGTTCAAAGCCAGCCTCAGCAATAGCGAGGTGCTAAGCAACTCAGTGAGACCCTGTCTCTAATAAAATACAAAAAAGGACTGGGGAAGTGGCTCAGAGGTTGAGTATCCTTGAGCTTCACTCCCTCGTACTGCCCTCCCCCAAAAAAGAAAATACAATTCAAATTTTCACATAGGAGCTACGGGTGTAGTTCAGTGGCAGAGCACATGTCCAGCATATGCAAGACCTCAATCCACAGCACCAAAAAAAAATAAATAAATAAATTTTTTTCTTTTGGAGGAGAGGGCCCACAAATGCCATGTGGCCTTGGGCAGCCCATAAACACCAAGTCAGGCTAAGAGGTAAGCAGTAGGGCAGTGACCCACAATTCCCTCCCTCTGGCACCTCCAGAAAACTAAGGAGCCCTCCAGGATCACATGGCTCCTCGCTGGCAGAGCCAGGCCTGATCCCAGGCTTGGAGCATGGACCTGCTGTCGTCCGGCTGGGAGGATCCCACCCAGCCGTGCTATGAGAGGCATGTGTGGGAATGTTCCAGTGCCACTAGGCACTGTGCACCTCCCATCCCCCTAGCAGGCCATTTCAGAAATGGAAAGTGGTGCCCTGTCCTCTGCCTTTCCAAATAGTTTCTATGTTTTTCTACAATGTTGTTTTCTTCTGTTCCCATTTCTAGCTTAATCTTCTGAACTAGAATTCAGAGAGGATAGTTTCCTGAAGGCTCAGCAGTTTGTAGCTGTATTTGTAAAAAATAAAGCACTTCATGACTACTACTTAGTTATTATCTTTCAATAATAACATTGAAGATCTGGGAAGAACATGAAACAACATTTTGTGCATTTCAAATTCCCTCTTCCTGGGCTGGGGTTAGGGTTCAGTGGTAGAGCACTTGCCTAGCATGTGTGAGGCACTGGGTTCGATTCTCAGCACCACACATGAATATGGAAAAAAAGTGAAAATAAATAAATTCCCTCTTCCCTCTCCAAGCACACAAGGCCAGAGGGAGGACAGGAGCAAGCCAGCTATGGCTTCGACCAGGGTGGTATCTCTCCTGTGAGAGTGACTTGTGACCCCTGGCAGGGCTCTGTGATCTGACCTGTCTGGAAGGTACATGGGACAATTGCCCATCACCTCCCCTGCTTTCACTGTCCTTCTGGATGCTCACCCCATCCTGGCAGTGGACACCAGGGTCATGAACCACCAGGAAACAAACATGGAGGGGTACCGACCACATCAGCTAGCCTGGCCTGGCCAGAAGGGTTGCTTGAACCCTGGCACTCGCTCTAGGCTGGGCCACCGCTCCCTCCACGCCACCTCCCACCCCAGGCTGGGCCCTGGGCAGCTCTGTTCTTCAGACAGCCAAGAGCAACCTAGGGATGTAGGCCCAGGACGCACATGTGGCTCAGCACAGCTGTCACTGGGTCAGTTCCAGAGGACTGGGGAAAGGGTGCCTCTGGCTCACAATACCAGCCCTGCTCTGCGCCAAGGAACTAAATTTAACCTTGGCCCTGAGGTTGTAGGCGGAAATGTTCACAGGATTTAGGCAGATAAACATAACACCCGGAAGTGTGAAGGCCACAAGATGATAGGGAGCCAGCGAAGGACAGATGACCAAAACACGAAACAAGAATCAATGCACAGGCCAAACAAAACCCGTGTTCAGCCTCTGCACAGGTGCAAGCTCTAGAGCAGGGTTTCCCCATGTTGGGCACCATGGTCATTTGGGGCCTGGTTTTTCTGGGTGGCAGGGGCTGTCCTGGACAACACAGGATGTTTGGCAGCATTCTTGACCTCTACCCATCACAGGCTAGAAGCATTCTATCCCTCTTCAGCAGTGACAACTAAGGATGTCTCTAGACATTGTCAAACGGTCTGGGGGGTGGGGCAGGAATCTCTTCACCACTGCTGAGAACCACTGGCCCCAGGCCTAGGCCACCTTGCCAGGCACCCTGGAGGGCATGCCAATTTGAAAGCCAAGTATCAGAGTTACTAACAATCCCTGCTAAACAAAGCTGCAGTGTGTTCTGCGCCTTGGGATTTTCCAGGACAGGATCAGAGGGAGCAGTGACTGACCGGTCGTGAGTGGAGAAGCTGTTGCTGTAGCAGGTGTCTTTGGCATATTTGATGACAAGGCACTTGTACTGGGCGATCTGGAAGCGGCGGACTCGCCTCATCAGCTCGGTGCTGCAAGAGTAGAAGGTCAGGAGAGGCCAGCCTGCAAGGCAGCTCCCCATCGCCCTCTTGTGATGCACAGCCTGAATCCCACCACTATCCAAGAGCAGAGCGTGGGAAGAAAGGGCAGGGAGTCCACGGAGACACCGACCGGCCCACAGGGGGTGCTGGGCATCACTTGGGAGCCTGGTATCAGTAACACCCGCAGGGGGCTGGAGGCCAGAGTGCTCCATGAGTAGGGTGGCCAGGAATGGTGCCCAGCCAAATGGTCCCAGGAAGGACTGGAGGTGCAAGGTTCTTAGGGATACTGTGGAGACTGTGGGCAGAGGCTGGCTGCATTCCAGGGTCATCTTACCCCAGAGCTATTCAGAGTGAACACAGGGCAACAGGGAAAGCTCTTGCTTCTGGGAAAGAATTCCGACCCCGGGCTTCACCCTCTAGCAAGAAGCTTGGGAATGGTCCCTTGCCTGGGGGAGCAAGGCTCCTAGGCTTCAGGAAGTTTCTTTGGCCACATAAGGAAACAGCTATAGAGTGGGGGCGTCCAGACACTCATTGCCTGGCCACAACTGGACGCCCTTGTGAGGACGTAGAGGGGTAGGTGCTAAGCTGTGGCCAGCTGTGGCCGGCTGCAGAAAGGCTTGACCTGGCGGGCGGGCGCAGGCTTCCTCTGGGACCGGATTCCAGGGAGGACAGGAATGCGGGCGGGAAGGTGCAGGCCAAGGCGGTGCAAGCTGCTCTGGAGGGGACCTCCGAGAGGGGCGGCCGGCCGGGGTCGCGGGGGTCCCAGGGAAAAGGTCCGCCCACCCCGAAGGACCATTACCTTTTTCCCGAGAACATGGGCCCGAGAATCACCTAGGAGGGAAGGAGAAGTCACTGTGGTCCGCTCCACGCGGGCACCACCGCCCCGACCCCCGCATCCCCCGGCCCCGCACCTGGATCTGCCCCCGGGTCTTGCTGGGGGAGCCGGGCAGCACGGTGGGTAGGTTGACACAGCTCATGGCGGCTCGGAGACCCCTTCAGCAGGCAGCTACACTCCCACTACGCCCCGCAGGTTCCCGCCGATTCGGCGCCCGTACCTTTAAACTGCGCACTGGCCAATCAGGAGCCTGCGCCACCAACGCAGCCAATCAGCGCCCGGCGGAGCCGGCGGGAGAGAGAACCTCAGTAAGTAACTCAAGAATTGGGCCCCCGAGGGGCGGGAACAGGGCGGTGGGCGGGGAGGGGCGTGGCCTGGACGGAGCCCCGCCCCGCTGCAGGGGGCACTCGCGGGCCGCCGGCCGCGGGTCTTTCGTCTGCGGACTGCGGCATGGACGGGGAGGGCGTGGGTGGCGGCGGCGAGGCGGCCTGGAGGAAGCTGTCTGCGGAGGTAGGCGGGCTGAGGGGCGGCCGGGGCCGCGGGGTGTGCCCGGAGACGGGCTGGGAGTCCGAGGAGGGCCCGGGAAGCCGTCGGCAGGTTCTCGGTAGCCCAGGCCCGGGTCCCGCCGGGTCAGACTCCTAGGCCGGCGGGAGGCGGGAGCGCCGTGTCGGACTTAGATCTGAGTCTGCGCAAGGGTCGGGTCGGGGTCGGGGTCAGTGCCTGTGAACCCCCAGAAGGGGCCGGGTGGCACCGCGGCTGGTGTGAGGTTAGAGGAGACCTGCCCAGCACGGTGAGTGGCTTTCCTGCGTAGTGTGCTCTTGTACCAGTGCGGTAACCGGGGCCAGCGACTGTCCTGCCCAGGGAACAGTAGCCAGCACGTGATGAAGCTCAGATGGCGTTTGATGCTAGGTCCTTCTGTGAGGACACTGTCCTCAGGTTTCCCCTGACTGTGGCTTTGAGCCCTTTCTCCAAACCTGGTTCCTTGTTACCTTCTGCCTCAAGTCTGGACGTCTTGGCCCTATGTTCAAGACCCTCTGGCTTCTAGCCCCAGCTCTCCAGCCTCCCCTCTGCTCTAGTCTTCTGGCCAGGCAGCATGTACAAACTGACCTTTGGTTCCCTCCTCACCTCCGTCCCTTTGACTGCGGGTCAGCCTCCCACCAGCATTGCGCTCTGTCGCTCTGTCGGAGGCCGCCCTGAACAGGAGCTTTGCGCATATCTCTTGTTTGTAAAGAGGTACTGGACTGGCATTGCACCCACTGCGGTGCATGTGGGCTTACCTCTGCGGCTACAAGAGGTGCAGCTCTGGGAGTGGGCGTCACCCCATGGGAGTGAGTTACACCCTCCTGTTTGTTGTAATATTACCCCTTGCCCTTTTTTGGATGGAACATTCCATTAAATGGCTCCCCTCAATAAATTGGGCTTTGGAACGTGCTCCAGCGCACTCTCTCTCTCTCCTGCCTCTCGTGTTTTTCTCTTGCCCCCCTTGTGAGAGCTTACATCTGAAGGGGAGAAGCCGTCTGAATTGCCCAAGAAAAAGGTACTTTCTCTGTATGTCTGTGTGATTATTTTGTGCCAGCCCAAGTTTACCTGAGTGACCCCGGTTCAGTGGCCTGAGCTGGATGGGGAGGTGAGCTCCATTCCAGCAGTAGACACCCTGCTGCCTGGCCTCTGTGGTCTCAGTTGCTGGAGGAGTGGGACCCATGGTGCCATTAACTGGACACCTTTATGGGACTGCATCTCCCCATGAGGCTGTCAGCTGGCTAAAGGCACAGCTGTCCCCAGGGGATCCAGACCATGGATCCTAGGGTGTCTTCATTGTTTGAAGTACTAATGGGGCAGTAGTGGAGGAGTGAGGAGCAGTGGCCAGGTGGAGGTTGGAGGGGCATGAAGGAAGCTGAGGCATCTTCGAGAACCTGGGGGCTTCTCAAGGAGAGGGGAGCCTGAGGAGTGGGAGGGATGGGGGACACATTCAGTTGAGAACAAGGGTCTCATGGAGTCTGTCTGTCCTATAGGAGCTGGAGAACCAGTATGCGCCCAGCAGATGGGTCATCCGAATGGGAGCAGAGGAAGCCCTGAGGACCTATAAGCAGATAGGAATTGAGGGTACCATATTGTCTCTCTACAGCTGCCTTGGGTGGCCGTTAGCATGTGGGCAGTGGTTTGGTATACAGGGGGAAGGGTGGAGCCGAACCCCAGAGTCTCGAGGGGCATTTCCCAAACACCAGGCATTGGATAGGGGGCAGGTGCTCAGACCCTCACTGCAGGGTGGGTGGAGGCAGGAGCAGCCCAGGTGAGGGCAATGGCTCTGTTGAGCATACTCAGCTTCCCTTCCGGCTCAGCCAACTGTCATAGGCCCTAAAGGTCACATGCCACGGTTGGCACAGGGAGGTGAGGTGAAAAGAGGAAGGCTCCTACCCCACTGTTAGGCTGGTGGTGTTTATTTATAAAAAGCAACAAGCCTTTTTCTTCTTGAAAGAAATCAGGGTGTGTGGTGTGTGGGCTGGGGTCGTTGCTCAGCAGCAGAGCATTTGCCTAGCACATGAGGCCCTGGGTTCGATCCTCAGCACCACATAAAAACAAATAAATAAATAAAATAAAGGTATTGTGTCCAATTACAACTAAAAAATAAATATATAAAAAAAAAGAAATCAGGGTGTGTCAAAATGAAAAATAGAAAGGGCGGGGATGTGGCTCAGTGATAGCACAGCCCTAGGTTCAATCAATAAATGAGGGTGCGGGAACCTGTACACACGTGAGTGTCCCCGTGGACTCTCTCTGTCCTGTGCCTGCATAGTGCTGGGCCAGGAAGCCAACGTGGCGGATTCATGCTGGGCAGGGGCAGCCCAAGAGGAAGCATGGCTGCTCAGTGGGGTAAACTGGACTTTGGCAAACCTGCCTGTTCCTGCAGCTGGCCGCAACCTTTCGCAGGATTCTCTCTGCCTTACAGAGGCAGCTGTCTGGGATCCCAGGGTGGGTGGTTTTTCAGACTGAAATAGCCAGGAGGAGAATCGGGCTTCTGGGGAGTTTGTTCCATACATTCCATCCTCCTCCCTGTCTGTCCTCAGCTTCCTGGGCACATCAGGGTCCTTCACTGTGCCCAGCTCTGTGCTGTATGTACCTCAGTTTGCACAGTGAGAGAGAGAGAGAGAGAGTGTGTGTGTGTGTGTATGTGTATGAAAGTGTGAGCTTGAGAAGACCTGTTTGCCTGTCTTAATGGCCTGCAGGGATAAAAGAGTTGGCCCTACTGAGAACAGGGTAGGATATCAAAAGCCAGAGCTAAGCGGAGTGCTATGCCAGTGATCAGAAACAGCAGGCCTCTCCACAAGCCCTGGGGGGCTGTACCTTGACAAGCTCTTGCTCCCCTTCCTCTTCCAAGGCTCCAGTAGACCCCGCAGAGCTGTGGGTAGGACTAACCCACTTCACAGATGCAGATCCCGAGCCCATGAACAGGTGTGGCATGTACAGCCGGCTTGTGCATGTGTTGGGTTGCAGCCTGTCTCTATTTCTAAAAAAGAAACAAGACCTTGCTATGTTACTCAAGCTGCTCTTGAACTCCTGGGCTCAAGGATCCCCAACTCAGTATCCTGAGTAGCTAGGACTCCAGATGTGGGCTATGCAGTGCTGGGGATTGAACTCAGGCCTTGCTCGTGTTAGGCAAGCACTCTACCTCTGAGCCCCATCCTTGGCTCCTAAAATTTTGATAGGTTATTTGTTGGTGGTGGGGTTTCCTATTGCTAGGGATTGAACTTGGGGGCACTGTACCACTGAGATATATCTCCAGCCCTTTTTATTTTTTATTTTGAGGCAGGGCCTCACTAAATTGCTGAGGCTAGCCTCAAATTTGGCAATCCTCTTGTCTTCACCTCTCCAATTGCTGTGATTACAGGTGTGTGCTACTGTGCCTGACAAGGGACTTTTTGATTTTTAATAAGTATTTTATTAAGCCCATAATCCTAGTATGCTGAAGGCTAAGACAGGAGGATCACAAGTTCAAGCCCAGCCTGGGCAACTTAATGAGACCTTGTCTCAAAAATTCAAAAAGGGCTGAGGATATTGCTCAGTGGTGGAATACTCCTGGACTCAGTCTCCAGAACCTCTCACACACAAAAATTATTATATTAGAATATTGACCTTGATTACTGAGTTCAGTAGTCTCACCCCCTGCTTAAATTTGGTGCCTGAGACAGGAGGTTGAAGACTTACCCAAGCTGATACAGCCAGTGATGGGGGCCCCTTCCCCAAGCCAAGCTTCCCGTCAGAGTAGGGCACATAGATAAGGGGTGGTGTTGGTCAGGCATGTTAGCTGAGTGTCCAGCCCTAGAAATCAGGTTCCCAGATTTCAGTGCAGTCTGTGGGACTCAGAGGCTGCCTCATTGGAATCAAACTTCCAGGAGATGGAAGAAGGATATAAAGCAGATGATGTCCAGGAAATGGTGAAAAATAAAGCCTTCCGTCCCAGAAAAACCTCTCCACAAACACAGAAGAAAAGAAGGTTTATTATTGAGTAAGGGTTCAACCACACTTCACTAGGACTCCCCGCAGGTGATCCACCAAAGAGACTGCAGATCCAGGATGAAACCCCATCCTCCCAGAGCCAGGTAGTGGCACCTCACTGCCCTGCTTCAGAGCCCTGACAACACCATTTGCCGCACTAGTCCACCCTAAATCCACCTGGAAATTAGAGTGGCCATTGTTGTGTTTGCTGGTTGCCTTTATCCAGAAAGGGTGGGGGGAATTCCGTATTTCACAAGGAGGAGGGTTTGCAACTTAGAGCTCAGTGCCTGCAGAGGGTGGCCTCCTCCCGCCCTCCCCTGGAGTCTGAGGGATAGATAGCCTCCCAAGAGATGGCTCCCAGGCCCTCGAAGTAATAAAACCAGCAAGACTCATTTAACTTTCAAAACTATTTGTACACATTTCAAAGGGGTAAAGATTTACAATGGTAGGTTTCCTAAAATAAATGCTCCACGAAAAGAGAGGGTTAAACTTTTCCTTTTTTGTACCAGGGAGAATTAACCTTTCTCCTCTGTTTTTCCTTTATATCCACCCCCACTGCCTCGACCTAGACCTCACGGTGGGGTGTGTTCCTTCATCCCTCTCCAAGTCCTGGCCTTCTTGGGGCTGGGCACCTGGAGGACAGAGTCAGCTGCCCTGTGACCTGCTAAGACCCCTCAGGAGCAGGAGGCTGGCAGATGGGGCTTAAGAACTATTTCCTCACTGATGGTTTTTGAATTTGTTTTACCAGGACCTTCAGTAGAAACACGTTTTATGCTAAACATAACGCAGTATGTACATATTGTCCAGGTGCTAACGGACGCTTACAGCACAATTCTTCCTAAAGGCTCTAGATTCAGAGGACACGAGGGTGGTTGCCAGGCACTGGGGCAGGAAGGAGTGTGGAGGTCATGTTTAATGGGAACAGTGTCAATTTAAGGAGATGGAGAAGTTCCAGAGAGGGCTGCACGGTGTGGAGGATCTTAATGCCACTGAGCTCTGTCTGCACTTAGAAACGAAGGGCTGTGCTGGGGCTCAGCGGCAGAGCTCACCTAGTGAGTGTGAGGCACTGGGTTCCATCCTTGGCACCACATAAAATTAAATAAATGAAAAATAAAGGTATTGTGTCCATCTACTAAGAATAAAAAAATTGAAGTGGTAAAAATTATGTATATTTCACCACAATTTAAAAATATTTTACATCATTTTAATACATATGTATAAAAAAATGTACACAAAATACTTTTTGTGTATGTGTGTGTGTGGTTCTAGAGATTGAACCCAGGGCTGTTGTACCACTGAGCCACAACCCCAGACCTTTTTATTTTTTGATACCAGGGACTGAATCCAGGGGCACTTAACCACTGAGCCACATCCCCAGCCCTTTTTATTTTTTATTTTGAGACAGGGTCTTGTTGAGTTGCCTAGGCAGGCCTCTAATTTACAATCCTGCCTCAGTCTCCCCAGTAGCTGAGGTTACAGGCGTGAATCACCACACCTGGCATACAACACTAATTGATGTAGGATACACTGTTCCAAAAATCTGAAATCCAAAATGCTCCAAAACCTGAAGCTTTTTGAGCACCAACATGATGCCATAAGGGGAAAATTCCACACCCAACCTCATGTGAGGTGTCGCAGTCAAAATGTAGTCACCCTAAAAATACTGTAAAAATTACCTTCAGACTACATGTATAAAACGCATATGAAACATCAGTGAATTTCGTGTTTAGACCAGGGTCTCGTCACTAAGAAATCTCTTAGTTTTGTCTCTAGTCTTGTTTCTCTAGAGGCTTATTTTCCCAAAAGTTTGGGATAGTTTGTGCCTCTTATGGTGCGTAGCAAAGCCCAGTGCCTGAGATCAGCATGCAGTACAGTAGAGGGAGAAAGGTGCCTGTCAGAGCCACAGGTCACGGCCAAGACTGGGGAATCCTCTTTCACGGAGGGACTCTCAGCTGATACTTGCTTGTCAACCCAGCCTGACATAGAAATTGCTGCTACCCACCCAGTGGCATACCCTTGTAAGCCTAGTAACTTTGGAGGCTGAGGCAGGAGGATCACAAGTTCAAGGCCAGCCTGGGCAACTCAGCAAAATCTTGTCTCAAAATAAAGAAGGGGCTGGGATGTAGCTCCATGTAGGGCACAAATGAGATAGAGAAGAAATTGCTGTGATCTGAGCTTTACTGGCAACTCATCTATTTCCTGAGGCAGCCACTAGGAAAGCCCGTGACACCTGCAGGAGCCAGCTGCATGTCCCCTATGGAGATGGTGACGGGGAGAAAATGGACATCTACTTTCCTGACCAGGCATCTGAAGGTGAGCCAGGTGAGCTGGCGGTCCTAAGCAGGCAGCGGTGCCTGGCCCTACCCTGCACTCTCTTTTGTGTTACAGCCTTGCCTTTCTTCGTGTTTTTTCACGGAGGGTACTGGCAGAGTGGAAGGTGAGTCGGGGATTGGACAGTGGAGCCAGGGGAGACTCGGCTCTCTGGGGTCCCAGGATCGCTGCAACAAACGGCTTGCAGCTTGCAGCTTCCAGCAGTGGAAATCCATTCTCAGGCTGCTGGAGGTGGAAGTCGGCATTCAGGGTGCCCCTGGAGTTGGGCGCTCTCTGAGGTTCTAGGGAGGGGAGGAGGATCCTTCCTGGCCTCTTCACAGTTCTGGTGGCTCCAGGTGTCCCTTGGCTTGTGTCTGTATCACCCCAGCCTCTCTCTGCCTGCAGCTTCACTTCATTGTTGGTATCCTGTCTCAAATCTCCCTCTGCTTGTTCTTAGAAGGATAACAGGCATTGGATTTAAGGCCCTTCCAAATCAGCTCGAGATTTTCAGTTCTGTTTGCAAAGATCCTATTTCCAAATAAGGTCATATCTGCAAGTTTTGGGAGTTAGGATTGGTACATGTCTTTTTAGGAAACACAATTCAACCCACTATGCCCAGTGAGAAAAGCATGTTTGGACAGCTCTCACATCAAGGGAAAATCCAGGGTGACTAACTGTCCCAATTGCTTAGGACAGAAAGATCTCCCAGGATCTGGAGCTTGAAGTGCTTGGGGGAAAAAAAAAAGAATGTCCCAGGCCAGCTGGGACAGTGGGTCACCATGAGCTAAGAAGGGTATTTGGAGCACACTGATGTTCCCTAGCGCCCTGTTACAGTTGTCTGCCAGGATCCACGCCCTTCAGGCTGCCTACAGTTCTGACCTTCAGCTCTCAAAAGCAGCTTAGCTACGCGCAGTGGCACAGGCCTGTAATCCCAGCGGCTCTGGAGACTGAGGCAGAAGGATCTCAAGTTCAAGGCCAGCCTTGGCAATTTAGCCCAGCCTGTCTCAAGATAAAATATGAAAGGGCCGAGGGTGTGGCTCAGTGGTAGAGGTGCCCTGAACTCAATCCTCAGCACCAAAAAAAAAAAAAAAGAGAGACAGAAAGAAAGGCAGCTGCGGCAGCCAAGAGGGAACATATTTGTCCCTATTTTTTAGGTGAGGGAACCAGGCTTAGAGGGTGAAGTCCCCAGTTGCACTCTTCCCTCTGCCACGCGATGTTCTGCTTGCATGGGACATCTGGCATGTGGTGTGTCTGGGACATAGGAGAAGCAGTGTGGGGGACGAGTGGCCTCCAAGTGTCACTTTTTGTCTCTTTCTGCAGTAAAGACGAATCTGCCTTCATGGTCAACCCCCTGACAGCACAGGGAGTGGCTGTGGTGATAGTGGCATATGACATTGCCCCCAAAGGTAACAAGGTGTCCCTGCAGGCTCCAAGGCCAGTGGGCTTTGTGGGAGGAGAGCCCCTGATGGATGCTGACCCAGCCTGTGCTCCTACTCAGGTACCCTGGACCAGATGGTAGACCAGGTGGCCCGTAGCGTTGCCTTTGTTGAGAAGCGGTATCCAAGCAATAAGTGGGTGTCGCTTTTCTTGTTGGATCACACTGGGTGGGAGGACAGTGATCCAGGCCCACTGGGCACAGCCAGGCTGCCTGCCCCTTTGGCCTGTGGAGTGGAAGGCAAATTGGGATCCTGATGCTTTGAGGAAAGTGAATGCAAACTCGGCTGTCTGACACCCCAGGGGAATTTACCTGTGTGGACACTCTGCTGGGGCCCACCTGGCTGCCATGGTCCTCCTGACCAACTGGACCAAGCATGGAGTAACACCCAACCTTAGAGGTATCTGCAGGGACTGCAGCCTAACTTGGCAGCCTTCCCCTTCCCCAGTAGTGCTGAGGGTTTGGGCCAACTGCTCAGAATCCTAATGGCCAGGAGTGGCTTGACTTGGAGGGCTCTGTTCCCCTGGAGCAGGGCGTTCTCAGCCTCCTGTCCACCCCGACCCTGGTCTTGCCCCACCTGAATTCCTCCCTTGCAGGCTTCTTCCTGGTGAGTGGGGTCTATGACCTGCAGCCCCTCGTGTTCACCTCACAGAATGCTCCTCTCCTCATGACCCTGTGAGTTGCTTGCCCTCCTGCTGCCCTGCCAGCCTACGGCCTGGCTGCCTGTCCTGACCCTGCCCCACCCTGCCCCAGGGAAGATGCTCAGAGGAACAGCCCTCAGCGGCACCTGGAGGTGGCCCGGACACAGCCTGTGGATCCAGCCTGCCCTGTGCTGGTGGCTGTGGGTCAGCATGACTCCCCCGAATTCCACCGCCAGTCCAGGGAGTTTCAACAGGTACTCAGCACCCAGTCTGTCTGGAGGTCATGGGTCATATGGTTCACTCGTTCTCTCTTCATTTTGCCCAAATGGATCCCAAGACCATGTCAATTACCTGACAAGTGTTTACTGAGTACTGCCATGTGCCAGGCACCTGTGTGTCCCCCTCCCCTCCTGCAGCCTCACACCTACTCCTCCTCACTCCCCCACCCAGGCACTGTGCCGCGGTGGCTGGAGAGCCTCCTTTGAAGAACTGCGTGATGTGGACCACTTTGAAATCATTGAGAACCTAACCCAGAAGGACGATGCACTCACCCAGGTGGGCCACAGCCCTTCCCAATGCTTGTATCCCCCTCACTGGGCTGTATGGGTACTGTTGAGGGAGTGGGAGGGGCTGCAGGCAGGAGCCACCTTGCCTGGGTCTCTAGCATCCAGAAGGCTAAGGCCTGGGCCCTGATGATGAGAATCATCTGTGTGTCACCTGCCCCAGGGCATCTCCTGGTGATCCAGGGGAGCCCTAGCTACTGTGCTACGGTGAGGCTGCAGAGGGGCAGGGAGGAGAAACACTGGCCTGTATGTAGGCAGGAAAGCAAAAGCCAATTCCATAAATATTTATTGCAACTTTAATATAGAGAATGCCACAATTAAAAATCAAAGGACAAACTGAGAAAAATATTTGTCACAAACATGGCAGTTATAGAGAGTTAACTCCCACCGCAGGAGGGCACTATATTAGTCCCACTTTTTTTTTTTTTTTTTCTTTTTTAAGACTTCTGGTTCTGGGGATGGAGCCCAGGGCTTCTGGCATGCTAGGCAAGTGCCGTACCACTGAGCTGCTCCCCCAGCCTACTAGCTGCAGACAGAACAAACACACACACAACCTAAGAAAGCCCACCTGTTTCTTTAATGGAATCCTACAGTAGCCACAACAGTCCTGAGGCTTTTGGGTCTTCTCTTCCTGCAACAGATCATTCTGAAAACCATCTTGCAGGAGTTCTGACCACATCTGGCCCCACCCGCAGAGAGCCCCTGGAGCCATGCTGTCTGCCTGCCCCAGCCCATCCCTCCTCACTGCTGATAACACTGGCAAAACCCTCCATGTCCTCCAGCTACCCAACCTGCATTAAACCCCAGGGAAGTCCCCAGGTCAGTGCTGAGATACCCACAGCCACCTTTTGGCCATGTCTGGCCCCTTTACTTACTGACAGGGTATGACAAAAATGACTTGCCTCTGGCTCACTGTTTTGTACACCTTGTGACAGTTGTGAGTATCAAATTGGGATAACCGGGGCCAGGCGTGTGGCTTAGCTGTAGAGCACCTGCTTGGCATGGATGGGCAAGACCCTGGGTCCCACCCCCAGCACTTCACAAACAGAAACCAGAGTCACTAGGAAGGAACCCTCCCACACATGTGCCTCCAAGGCCACTGTGAGGAATCTCTCAAACTGCATCCTGCACAGGACACCTGTGACATGTGCCCACCACTGAGCAACCTAGCTCCTACAACAAGCCCTGTGGCCTGGGTGCCTCTTTGAGAACAGTCTATGCAGACCCGTCCTTTCTTACTTTTAAATGCCCCCACACCTGATTCATCTCCAAATCCTAAGATGTGAACTGAAAAGTAGCCTCGACCAGAACCACTGGTGCCAAGATGGAGTGGTTTCTCTCGCCACTGCTTATTCACTGGACTTTGCTGCAGAATTAAGAAATTTCTTGGGGCTGGGGATATAGCTTGATAGAGCGCTTGCCTCACATGCACAAGGCCCTGGGTTCAATACCCAGCAACACACACACACAAATTTCTAAAGCAAAAACATAACCTACAATGAAAACAACTTTTGCTTAAAGATGACAATAAAATGTTGCAATTTTAAAAAATGCCTCCCTTCAACCTCTTCAGATGCACCTAGGGTCTACCACAGCATGTGTCTGGGATTGTAATCCCTGTCTGTTCCCAAATAAACTCTGAAAAAATACTTTTCCTGGGCCTCATACCAGACCTGCAATCTCAGCGACTCTGGAGGCTGAGGTAGGATAACCAAAAGTATGAGGCCAGCCTCAGCAATTTTGTGAGATCCAGTCTCAAATTTTAAAAGGGTTGGGGTGTAGCTCAGTGGTAAAGTACCCTGGGTTTAATCCAAACACCACCAAAAAAAAAAGGGATGGTCTCTTGTCATTCATTTCAGACCCACAAACTGAGAATGGTTTTACATTTTTAGAAGACTGAAAAAGAAAAGTGATGAATATAATGCCATGAGATGTAAAAATCACATAAAGCTTAAATTCCAGCATCCATAATACATTTGTGTTGGGACCCAGCCCTGCCCATTCACAAGGGGCCACCTGGCCCTCAAGTCTCTCCCTGACCCCAGAGAGTCTGCAGAGCCCTGGGTAACAGCTTCCCAAACTGCCTTCTGCTTCAGTCTTCACTCTGCCCCCAGGGGCCTGTGCAAGGGGCTGGCTAGGTCCCCAGCCACCACTGCACCCTGCCCCACTCCTCTCCTCTCCAAATATCTAGCAGTTCAAGAAATGCCATGTTGATGATCTGCAGTTGTGTAGCACCGTGCCCAGCTAGTCTTTCAACTTTTCTTTAAAGTGGAATGAAGTTGGTCATGGTAGTGCATGCCGCAGTCTGGCTGGGCACAATCAGGAGCCACTTGTCAAAAGAAACTAACTTTATTTTTAGAACCACACATGCCAAACAAAACAGCCTCTCAGGAAAAACCCTCAGAGCCTCAACTGCCACCACCGGCTTTCCACAAGCCTCTCTCTCCCACACAAGCTTCTCTCCACCTCCCACAATCCTCCTGCTCTTGAGGCCGATTGGCTGGGTCACGTGGGTGGAGCCAAAAAAGTCCCCCAATGAGCATCACCGCAGAGGAGCCAATCAGCTAGATGTTGCTGGGGCCGCTGTGAGCCAATCATCAGCCGGCAGCTGGAAGTTTGCTGGGGCCCCTTTGGCTGTGGCTCTCAACATCTCCCCCTCTCTGTTTAAACAACAAGCATGTGGCTTAGGGACCGTGCCTGCCTTAGGTTGTCCAATAGTACATATGGTCCTTAGGTTGGTACCATTGCAATTGGATCTTACCCGTCACTGACTACTGGTCCAGTATACAGCCACACCTGTGGAGAGGTCTTTGTACCAGCGGGGGGGTGAGGTTCTTTGCCTCACCTCTATTGGCCCCCAAATTTTAGCTGGACGATCATGACAAGCAGAAGGGAGGAAGATACACCAAGCCAATTGACGGCTCCTTTTGGAAAAATTGTACCACCAATGACATCATCAGCAAAAATACCCCAACACTACCACAAGTCGCTGCACCAACAGATAGTTCACAATGCATACAGGTGAGCTCACAGTGTGTCCAGGCAAGTTCTGCAAGCAGTTCAGTGATGGCTATTGTAGAAGCTGTAGATTGGTTTTATCTTTGACTTCACCAGCACTGGGATGAAGATAGGAATTCTGGCAATAATGGCTAAAGAAAAAATTATGTAACATTACAGAAGGCACTAAAAGAAAACAATTTTCTTAACAATTTACATTATCTTTAAGAGAATTATTAAATATAATGAAAAGGAAAGGTGAAAGTAAATAAACAGATCTGTTAACCTTCTTTTTTGTTTACATATTAAAACAATCCTCAACAGTTGTTTACCCAATTTAAATTAAACCATATAAATCACGTGAAAAAAAAATATTTGGATCCATTTTATCATGAGCGCTCATCATATATGATATATGGACATACATACATTCAAACATATAACACAAAACACAAGTGTGCACACATATAATACATACAACACATAACATTATAGTAAAGGCCTTATAACTTTTTACAGGTGAAATCTCCATTGCAATGTTTAAAAACTCTATAGTCAAAAAATAGAACTGATCAGCAAAACATTAACCTAGGTCTGTATGAGCTCAAAAAACAAAATAGAACTTCATGATATGGCAAAGGCCAATAATAAAATAGATATTGAAAAAAGCATCCTGGTTCTGTTGCAGATGTAAGAATAGCCAAACTGGAGTTTTGGATATCAGTTGTTATGGATTTGAGCCAAATCATCTTCTTTTTGGTCTGTAGAAATTGCTTTAGTTAATCTTTCTGGAATCCAAATCGGCTGCTGTTCTCCCTGTGGAAACACATAAACAGACCCCCGACTCCAGACAATCACTGGGTCAGGACCTTGGTTAATCTCTCTGGAATCCAATTTATGTCTCCTAATAACTTTTGAAAGTCATTAAGTGATTTGAGTTGATCTACTCGTATTTGAATTTTTGGTGGACGGACCATGGTTGAGGATAATAGAACTCCTAAATAATTAATTGGAAAATTTAATTGTACTTTATCTATTGCTATCTCTAGATTATAATTTTTTAATAAGTTTGTAAGTGTGGCATAACATTCTAGCAATGTGTTTTTATCTTTGTGTGCTAATAATACATCATCCATATAGTGAAATATTTGTAGTTCAGGATTTTGATTTCTAAGTGGCTGGATTACTTTGTTAACATAAATTTGACACATAGTTGGGCTGTTAGCCATCCCTTGAGGGAGTACTTTCCATTCATATCTCTGATCAGGACCTTCATGATTCAGTGCAGGGATAGTAAATGCAAAACGTGGACTATCCTCAGGATGAATTGGAATTGAAAAAAAAAACAATCTTTAATATCTATAACTAAAACATACCAGGTTTTTGGCAAAGCAGACAACTGAGGAATCCCTGATTGAGCAGGTCCCATAATAACCATCTCATTATTAATGGCTCTTAAATCTTGCAGTAATCTCCATTTATCAGATTTCTTTTTGATGACAAAAATGGGAGTATTATGGGGAGATACAGAAGGTTGTGTATGTCCTTCTGCTAATTGTTGTTTGACCAGGTCATGGGCTGCTTGTATCTTTTCTTTAGTCAGGGGCCACTGAGGAACCCATACTGGTCTTTCTGATTTCCAAGTAATTTCTATTGTCTCAGTGGCCCTTTCTGAAAATCCAACCCATGTCTGTCTGTTCCTTGATCTATTTGTATTGGTGCTGCTATACCTTGTTCTTGTTTTTCTAATCTTTTTCCTTTCCTAAAACCTTGTCTAGTCATAATAGTGGGTGCATTTTGGTTGATGTTATTTGTTAATGTCAAACCTAATTGATCTAGGACATCTTGTCCCCATAAATTTACGGGAAGATGATCCAATACATATGGCTGTATAGTTCCTTCACATCCTTCAGGATCCTTCCAATCTAATACCATTGCACTTCTATGGGGATTAGTCGCCACTCCTAGGCCTCGAAGCGTTTGAGTGGCTTGTTGTAATGGCCAATGTTTTGGCCATTCTTGACGAGAGATGATGCTAAGGTCTGCACCTGTATCCAGTAGCCCATTAAAGTCATGTCCTTGAATATTTAGTTTTAGCATGGGGCGAGAATCTAAATTTAAAGAAAGCATAGCCCAATCTACACCTGTGGAGCCTAATCCCTTGGAACCTCTTTCTACAGTACGACTGGAAAATTTATCATGTAGGCTGGGTATTATTAGTAACTGTGCTATTCTATCTCCTGGTGAAATTACTGATATACCCTTTGGAGAACTGGCTATAATTTTTATTTCACCTTCATAATCGGGATCAATTACCCCAGGACTTATCATAAGTCCTTTTAGAGTAGAAGAGCTGCGTCCCAATAATAAGCCTACTGTTCCTTTGGGAAGAGGTCCTTTCACCCCTGTGGGAATGATTTGAACTCCCATCTCTGGAGTTAGTACTGCTCTGGCGGAGGCGCAGATGTCCAACCCTGTGCTCCCTCTGGTTTGTCTGATGAGGGATCTGATGGACAATGTGTCCTGGGCACTACCCTGATGGGGTTGCTGGGTTCCTCCAGTGCTCCGTATATTTGTGGTTTTGGGCCCCGGAGCATTGGGCCCCCCTGTCCATTTTTTGGCAATGGAGCCCGATGCCTTTCTCCACGATATCGTGGATAAACACCTGGTCCTTGTTCGTTTTTTGATAATGGAGTACCCTCTATGGTGGTTTGAGAACGGCATTCATTAGCCCAATGTCTCCCTCTACGGCATCGTGGGCAAATACCTGGTATTCTACTCCTTTGATACCTAGTTTTGTTAAACCCTCCTCCAATGGGGCAATTCCTTTTAAAATGTCCTGTTTGTTCACAATTGTAGCATGTTCTTGGCCTGGCATCTAAAGCCTGTTTTACTGCAGCTGCCACAATTTGCCCTTGTTCATTAATGTCTCTGGCATCTAAAGCCTGTTTTACTGCAGCTGCCACAACTTGCTCTTGTTCATTAATGTCTCTACATAATTTAATATATGTGTTTAAATCTTCATGTTTCCATGGTCTAATGATATCTTTGCACCAACGATTTGCTTGCTCATAAGCCAGGTGTTTTAGTAATGGCATTGCTTGTTCTGTATTCCCAAAAACTCTGGTAGCTGTTTGAATAAGCCTATCTACAAATTCAGCATAAGGTTCATTAGCTCCTTGTATTATCATAGATAATTGACCTTGTAAACCTCCATGTCCTTGTAAAGTCTTCCATGCCTTAATTGCATCTACAGCAATTTGTGCATATACACCAGGATCATATGCAATTTGTTGCTGCTGATCCTCATAAGGTCCCTTTCCTAACAACATATCTAGATTTCTCTGAGGATAACCAGCTGCTGCATTTCGCCTAGCCGTCTCCTTGCAAAATTCCTCATTGGCAACCTTCCATAACAGGTATTGTCCTCCATTTAGCACAGCTTTACACATATTAGCCCAATCTGCTGGCGTCATGTTCAAGTTGTTAATGGATTCGACCATGCTTACAGTGAAGGGTGCTTGAGGACCATAGGTTGTTACAGCCTCTTTTAGCTGCTTCACTGTTTTGAAATTTAAAACTTGGTAAAATCGCTGCCCTCCTGCCTCAAATACAGGGCATGTTAATATTTGAGATCTTGTCTCAGGATCCCAACTATCAACTGCGGGGCTTGGGGACCTCCCAGCATATGGAGGTGGCCTTGTTAGTTGGACTCTTACGTCCTCTGGTGATAGAAAGGTGTTAGTAGCAGTCTCCTGTAGAGGTGGTGCTGTTGGTTGGACACTTACACCCTCTGGTGATAGAAAGGTGTTAGTAGCAGTCTCCTGTTGTAACTTTCCCCCTGATGGCTTTTTCTGTTTTACACTTTCTTTCTCTGTCTGACTAGCTTGAGAGGCCTTCTCTTTTACTTGAATCTTTTCCTCTGTCTGACTAACTTGAGAGACCTTCTCTTTTACTTGAATCATTATGTCTTCTCCTTCCTCTACCATTGTCTGAACTGAAGGCTTTGGACTAAGCAAACAAGATACGAACGTCCACAATGGCAATGTGCCAACTGGAAGAGTCCCTGGCTTTTCTTTTCTATTCTTTTAAAATCTTCACCATGATGGTTCCATTGTGATATATTTAACAACTCCTCCTTAAAAAGCCATGGGCTACATTTTTGTATTGTATCAACGTATGCCCTGATTGTTCTTGATTTTACTGAGATGCCTCCTTCCTCTAACAATTTACTTAACACTCTTTCAGTTTGTTTTTTGCTAATTTCTGATCCCGTATTTCTACTATAATACAACCCAACAAGATGACGCCAAACAAAACCGAGACAGAATGAAATAAAAAGGGAACAACAAAAAGTCATTATAGCCTTTCTATCCTCCTGACATGTGCATCCGTCCTTTCTCCCTATCTGTTCCTCAGACGTAAATAGTTTTTCCTCAGATGTGAGCGGTTTTTCTTCCGTCTCACTCATCTCCAGGGACAGGCAACTTAAAACAAAAGTGAAGCAAAATAAAAGAGGAATCTTAAAATGGCTACCCATCCTCTCGCCCTGCCCTCAGGGGCGAGCAGTTTCACTTACCCTCAGTCGCTCCCCGTGCGAGCCACCAAATGCCGCAGTCTGGCTGGGCACAATCAGGAGCCACTTGTCAAAAGAAACTAACTTTATTTTTAGAACCACACACGCCAAACAAAACAGCCTCTCAGGAAAAACCCTCAGAGCCTCAACTGCCACCACCGGCTTTCCACAAGCCTCTCTCTCCCCCACAAGCTTCTCTCCACCTCCCACAATCCTCCTGCTCTTGAGGCCGATTGGCTGGGTCACATGGGCAGAGCCAAAAAAGTCCCCCAATGAGCAGCTCCGTGGTCTGAAAGGGCAGGGAAAAAGCCCAATGAGCATCACCGCAGAGGAGCCAATCAGCTAGATGTTGCTGGGGCCGCTGTGAGCCAATCATCAGCCGGCAGCTGGAAGTTTGCTGGCAGCTGGAAGTTTGCTGGGGCCCCTTCGGCTGTGGCTCTCAACAGTGCATGCCTATAATCCGTTTCGGGAGACTGAGGCAGGAGGATTGCAAGTTGAGAATCTAAAGCAACTTAGAGAAACGGTGTCTCAAAATAAAAGGTAGAGAAAGCTGGGGATGTAGCTGAGTGGTAGAACTCTCCTGGATTTAATCCCCAGTATTTAAATAAAGTGATATCAAAATTGGCTGGGGTGTTCCTCAGTGGTAAGAGTGTGTGCTTAGCATGTGCAAGGCCCTATGATCAACCCCAGCACCAAAATAATAAACTTTTTTAAAAAGTTATTACCTTCAAAGAAGAGAAGTCAGCAGCCCAGTGTGGGGCTAGAAGGCTGGAAGTAACAAGATGTGAGAGGTATCGTCCTTTGCCCTTACTGGAAAATGACTCTCAGACCCCCTGTTCCTATCAGATGAGACAGTGATTTCTCTTTACAGCAGATTTTTTTAAAAAAATATTTAGTTTTTAGTTATAGGTGGACACAATATCTTTATTTTATTTTTATGTGGTGCTGAGGATTGAACCCAGTGCCTCAACGCATGCTAGGCGAGTGCTGTACCTCTGAACCACAACCCCAGACCCCTTTACAGCACATTTTTTTAAAGTAATGGCAGGATTTATCACTGCTATGAGTAGGGAAGGGGAGCTGGCCCTGTGGATGGGCCCCCATTTTGCCCTGGTCTTTCCCTAACTCTCCACTTAACTTATCAGAGCACTGGCCCAGCCCCCATCCCAGGGTTCCACAAGGTGGTCCTCCCGAAAATCCAGGCCTCAGCAGGCAGGGGTGTCTGCTGGTACTCAGGCCTCCACACATCTGGAGTTTTGTTGCAGAGTGGCCCTACAACTCTCCAAATCTGCTGCCAAGAGCTGGTCTGGGGTGACATCTGCACCCTTTCCGCTGCACCCTTCCAGTACCACACTTCCCAGAGGAGTCAAGACTTCAACACAAAAACCCAAACCAGAAGAAACCTCAGGGAGTATCTTATAAAATCATCTTGGAGTGGAGCCTTTCCAAGCATGACAATATCAACCAACAGCAAAACAAACTAGTTAGAGATAGAAAACAAACATCAGACTGAAAGTGATTAATAGGAATGCCAACATTTTACATTTTTGTGGGGGAAAAACAAACATACTACCAAGTCAAAAGACAAACAACAAATGCAGGGATGGGGATGGCCGTGACAGAACAAGTGAAGCCCAGTCCCTTACCAGGAATCTGGCAAAGGACAGGCAGGACCTCAGAGTCCCAGAGAGGAAGTGGAGAAGAGGCCATCAGCCTCCCTCCTAGAGATACAAATCAAAAGAAGCACAAGCTGTCTGTGCTCTCAGAGGGCAAAGATCGGGATGCTGGAGGCTATGCTGAGCTGTCTCAGCACCTCCAAGTGGCCTTGAGGACACCTGTAATCCCAGTGGCTGGGGAGGCTGATAGACAGGAAGATGGCAAGTTCAAAGCCAGCCTTAGCAAAGCAAGGTGCAAAGCAACTCGGTGAGACCCTGTCTCTAAATAAAATACAAAACAGTGCTGGGGATGTGGCTCAGTGGGCAAGTACCCCTGAGTTCAATCCCCAGTAAAAGTGGTCTTGACCTTTTCACATTAACCAGGGAGGTCACTGACCCTGTGAACCCAGCAACCAATAGAAACCCAACAGAAACAACACAGCCTCACCCTTTCCTCCCAGCCATCTGCATCTCTTAATGTTTTTTCTTCCAATTCTGTTTCACAAGATTGCTCACAATTTTCTTGTGAATTAAGCTGAGAGATAAATCCAACCTATCAGTTTCTTATCTAATTCGTGATTGTTACTGGTAGAAATGGATAAAAAAAAATTTCTTTGCTAACAAACTGCACATGGTAAATATTTTTACTAAAACTGGTATAAACCTCAAAATACTTTTTAGCTGCTAAATTTTTATGCTAAAAAAGTTTTGAGAGGCTGGGGTTGTGGCTTAGTGGGAGAGTGTTTGCCTTGCACATTTGAGGCACTGGGTTCGATCCTCGGCACCACATAAAAATATGTAAACAAAACAAAGATATATAAAGAAATTAACATTGGGCTTTAAAAAAAAAAAGTTTTGAGCTGGACACAATGGCTTACACCACATGGGTGTAATCCCAGCAGCTCCAGAAGCTGAGGCAGGAGGATCATTAGTTCAAAGCCAGCCTCAGCAACTCAGTGAGACCCTGTCTCTAAATAAAATATTTTTAAAAAGGGGGGATGTGGCTCGGTAGTTAAGTGCCCCTGGGTTCAATCCCAGTACCAGGAAAAAAAAAAAAATCTTTACTTGAGCTAGGTAGAAATAATGTAGAAAGTTGGAAATAGCAGAAGATATTACTGGTAAAAATTGGTATAACCAAAACCTGGTGATTTAGATACTTGTTATAAAGTCTTAGGGAAAGTGGGGAGTTGTCTAATGGATAGTTTCAGTGGGGAGATTTAAAATATATATTTTAGTTGTAGGTGGACACACAATATCTTTATTTCATTGTTTTACACAGTGCTGAGGATCAAACCCAGTGCCACACGCATGCTAGGCGAGCATTCTACCACTGAGCCACAACCCCAGCCCCCCTTTTTAATTTTTTTTTAATATTTTTTAGTTTTAGGTGGACACAATATCTTTATTTTATTTTTATGTGGTGTTGAAAATTGAACTCGGTGCCTCACGCATGCTAGGCGAGAGCGCTACCACTTAAGCCACATCCCCAGCACCCCCTATTTAATTCTTTTTTTTTTTTAAAGAAAGAGAGAGATAATTTTTTTTAATATTTATTTTTCAGTTTTCGGTGTACACAACATCTTTATTTTTATGTGGTGCTGAGAATCAACCCAGAGCTCTGCACATGCCAGGCGAGCGTGTTACTGCTTGAGCCACATCTCCAGCCCCTTAAATTCTTATTTTAAGACAGGGTCTTGCTGAGTTGTTGAATCTGGCTTTGAGTTTGCAAACATCCTGTCTCAGTCTCTGAGTGGCTGGGATTACAAATATAACCACCGCAGCAGTAACAATACAGTATTTTTGAAATCTTAGGGAAAGGATCTCAGCATCTGAAGTTTTCAGTAAAATGAAAATTTACATTGAAAAAAGGTTGGAACTTGTTTATGCTAAATAGAAAACGAATCACAAAAACACAATGGCCTGATGGAGAAGACACCAAAAGATAATGTTTCCTTCCTTTTTTTGGTGGTACTGGGGATTAAGCACAGGGCCTTTTGCCTGCTAGGCAAGTGCTCTCCCACTGAGCAGCTCTTCTTTTTTCTCTGAGATGGAGTCATGCTGTTGCCCAGTGTTATAGTTTGCATCTGAAATGTCTTCCAAAGTCTCATGTGTTGCAATGCAGCAATGTTCAGAGGTCGAACTGATTAGATCAAGAGGCCTTTGATCTCACTAATGGGCTAAGCCACTGAGGCATCATAACTGAATGGACTGCAAGGTGATGGAAACTTGAGAGGTGGACCCTCACTGCAGAAAGGAGGTCCCCAGCCCAAGAAGTAAGCATCCTTGCTCTGCCACACCCTTCCACCATGTTCTGCTCAGTCACAGGCCCAGAAACAATGGAAGTGGCTGATAATGGACTGAAACCATAAGCCAAAAAAAAAACCCCAAACTTTCCTTCATTGAGTTTTCCTCAAATATTCTGTCACAACAACAAAAAGCTGATGAACACACAGGCTGGCCTTGACCTCCTGGGCTCAAGTAAGCCTCCTCTCAGCCTCCCGAGCAGCTGGGACTATAGGTGCATGCCATCACAGCTGGCTGCCAGAGAATAGTTTTCAATGAATATCATCAATATTGGTGGAACTCAGATCCTTGGGGTATCCTAGGTAGGTTCCATACCCACAGAGACAAAACCACAGATCAAACCATGTTCCCCCAATGACTGAGATGTTTGTGGTAGGGTAGGTTGGCTATGTACACATGTTCTCTGGGGGATCTCACTAGTAGGCACATGTCCTACAGACAGAGCTTCACAGGAGCATGTGCCTGTTGGTTACTGTACAGTTCACAGTGGCAAAAAGAATTGAAGCTACCCAGTGGGAAAGTAGGAAAGATCAGGGTATACCATACAGAATACCATGTAGATACAACGGAAGTGTAAGGTCTCTGCGTGATATGCTGCCAGTTGAGAAGGAAGGGCATCAAACAGGGTGTGGGGATGGTCCCACTTGTCTGTTTTTTAAAAAGGGTTTATAGACACACATGCACCTGGAAGGGCATTTAAGAAATTGCTAAAAAGCTTCCCTCTGAAGTGTACAGCTATGGGAAGACTTCACTGGACCATTTTTTTCGCTTTTACAATGCGGATGTGTAAACTTTGTAATACAGGAGAAAAGTGTTCATAAAATGTTTGGATGAATATGATAAGTGAGGTGATGTCTAACACAACCACCTCAAGACTGGTTTGATCAGAACTTGAATTTGTTGTCAACTACTTGAAAACCCAGAGTTCACATGGACATGCAAATTTTTTCCTGAAAATCCACAGTCCACATGGCTGGGACTGGGTGGTGTACTCTTCAGGAGGCAGGCGCTCTGCTCTGCCTTTGCCTCAACAAAACTCTCCACCTTTATATTCCCACTCCTGTGGGTGTTTAAGATCCAGCAAAGGCTGAAGGGCCTGCAGAGCCAGGACAAAGTGAGGAGCTTGAGCTTCTTTCAGACATGGTGTTGGGGAAGCAAGAAATGCAAGCACAAGTCACCACCTGTGTCACTGGCCAGAGGAATCTCAGGATAACAGTCAAGTTGTGCAAACCAAAATAAAAACTTGAGTTAGGCCTTCCAGGTCACGCAATTGTTGCCTTATCATATTGGATGGTAACAGCACTGCCTTGTGCCCCTTAAAAAGCCCCCTGACCCAGTTGTTTGACCAGAGCCCTGCGCCTACCCACAGTCTATGAGACAGGCTTGCCCATATCCCAGCAGCAGGGGACTGATCTAGGAGAGTTGTCGCCCAACACAAGAGCCAGTGCATTTGCTCATAAGGCCAACAGGGACATTTGCCCTGGGCCGTGACGCTGAATGCTCAGCGGGCTGCTTCCTGCAAGTGGCTGCTTTGGAGAGTCACCGCAGACACAGAGGGTGGCCCGGTATGAACAGACCCCTGGCAAGGGGGATGGCTGGAAGGTGCAGCACCTGCTTCAGGCCAAGCCAGCAGCCACACCAGGGCGCTGTGGCCCTGCTCTGGGCCTAGCCTCGTGGGCCACGGCAGTGCCTGCGCCCCTGGACTTCTCTCGGAGCCACTTACTTCTGTGGTCACATTGCGGTCCTGCCTCCGAGACGGCCCCCAGTCTACCTCTGTCTCCACAGGGTCCTCCCCGACCGCGGCCGCCCGCCTGCATTTCAGGAAGGGCTCTGAAGGCAGCCTGGTCCCCACGTTTGGGAGGCACGTCAGGATGCCGGGCTCGGCTGCGCACACATCCCGTGGCCTCTCTCCCGCAGCAGGTGCCGGGCCTCCGGGTGTGCGCCGCACGGCACCGGCGAGGACCTGCGGCGAGCCGGCAGGGCGTCGAGGCTCACCCGGAGGCGCCGGTAACTACCTGCACCCGCAACCCGGCCTCCGCCCATCCATAGCTCCAGCAAGGCCGCGGGCGGGGATCCTGAGGCCGGGCGTTCCCGGCATGCCCCGCGCCTCCCATTCCCACAAGGCCACGGGCGAGGATTCGGGGGCGGGGCATTCCCGGCTTGCCCTGCGCCTCCCACTCCCACAAGGCCGCGGGCAAGGATTGGGGGCGGGGAATTCCCGGCATGCCCCGCGTAGCGCCGCTACCCGCGGGATTTGAATCGCTCGAGCAGGCGGCGGCGGCGCCATGGGGGCTCAGTTCTTGCCATCGACCTGGCAGCTCTATCTCAAGGACCACCGCGTCTCCACGTTCAAGAACTGGCCCTTCCTGGAGGGCTGCGCCTGCACCCCGGAGCGGGTAAGACCCCCGGCCTCTCGGCCGCCAGCCCGGCTCGCCCCGCCGCGTCCCTAGCCAGGCCTGTCTTTCCTGGGGCCCCGGAACGACCCCTCCCGGGGACTGCCGGCCCTACCTGAGCCTGGGTCCGACCTCGTATCCGCTCACGAGCTGTCCCTGTTCTTGCAGATGGCCGAGGCGGGCTTCATCCATTGCCCCACTGACAACGAGCCCGACTTGGCCAAGTGTTTCTTCTGCTTCAAGGAGCTGGAAGGCTGGGAGCCAAGTGACAACCCCTTGTAAGTCCCTCCAGACGAGCCTCGATGTGGGGGGCGGGGTCTGAGATGCCCAGTTCCATCAGGACGCTTTGATTTGAATTGGGATCCTCCAAAACGGATTGAATAGAGCTGAGATTGTTAGTGCAGGAGCGATGGCCTTCTCAACTTCATTTTGGCTTTAAACAGCTGTGTGAATGGTTGCGGCTCTGACTGCTGACACCTTGGTGACACAAACCCTAACCAAATCTTGTTTGACCAAAACTTCTTTAGGGTGGATGTTGAAGGAAATTGGTGTAGGTTGCTCCATGCCTTCCAGGTTCAGCAGAATACAGGATTTGTTTCTGCCCTGAGTACTCCCAGGAATCTCCAAATGCTTTTACTACTTGGGATTTTTTTTAAAAAAATAGCTTTATAATCCACATACCACAAAAGACACCTTTTAAAAATTACACTTCAGTGTTTAGGAATTTGTTCTTCAAGACACTGTTATTTTTTTTAAATATTTATTTTAGTTGTAAATGGACCTTTATTTATATGCGGTACTGAGACTTGAACCCAGGGCCTCACACATGCTAGGCAAGTGCTCTACCATTGAGCCACAATCCCAGCACCAAGACACTTATTTTTTAAAAAGTTGTGTAAATATATGTGCCATATTTTTCAGGATTGTTTGTTTGCCATGCTGGGCATCAAACCCCAGGCCTTGTGTATGATAGGCATAGACTCTACTGCTGAGCTCTGTCCCCAGCCCTGGGTAATGTCTTTCCATGTTCTTTTCTCACATCATCTTCTTGTCAGGATCGATTGTTTCCACAACCTGAATTTTCTTCCCCAGAGAATTACTTGAGTTGTTTCTCTTCTGGGCAGAAGGGTGTTGCTGTTTTTTTCCTATTTCATTCTTTATTGTGACCAAGCATTGAATGAAATAGGCTAGTGGTGGTCACACTAGGGATCAGTGGGAAACATCAGCAGCATTATTCTTTTCTTTTCCTTTTTTTTTGGGGGGGGGGGTTTGCAGTGCTGTGGATTGAGCCCAGAATCTTGGCCATGCAAGCAAAACACTCTACAAATGAGCCACACACACCCCCACCAGCCCAAAATAACTAACCATAGTGCCCCATCCATGAAAAGCATTATTCTTTTTTGGGGGGGCCACCAGGGATTGAACCTGGGTACTTAACCACTAAGCCACATCCCCAGCCCTATTTTGTATTTTATTTAGAGACAGGATCTCATTGAGTTGCTTAGTGCCTTACCTTTGCTGAGGTTGACTTTGAACTTGTGGTCCTCCTGCCTTAGCAGGGATTAAAGGCGTGCACCACTGTGCCTGACCCAGAATAGCATTATTCTTGAGAGGGGATTTCTAAGTGTTTTGATATTTTTACATTATGGTTACTGTTGACTGTCCTTTTGGACTCTGTGTGGCTGTGTTCTCCTAATCCTAAGCTGGCTACAGTGATTTCCACTTTCCAGGGATATTCCTATTGCAGAGAATGAGGGTGTGAGGAGAGGAGTCCCCCTGGGAAGCTTGGCTAATGCAGCCCTTATCCTGAACTTGTGGACTGTGTAAATATTTCTGTGAAATGAATTTACTTCCAGAAGTACCTTGAGAATTTCAGAGGGTTTTGACATATAATTCCTATGGACAGAAACTATACAACACTTTTCCTACTAATTGTAAAGAATTCCAGATAAAATCCTCTAGCCACAAGGATGTGGGGCAGACCTCCACAGAGAGAGAAAAGGCAGTAAGCGAGCTGTGTGGTATGTGCCTGGGATGGCACTGGGCCCATCAGCTTTGGGCCCAACCCTTTGCTCTTGAAGCAGAGCAGGGCACATCCTAAGAGATGGCCGGTGGTGATGGGAAATGCTGTTGGTCACGAGGCATTGTTATTTGGTTGACATGCTTGTGTATTGACTTTTCTAGAGAGGAACATAAAAAGCATTCGTCTGGGTGTGCATTCCTTTCTGTCAAGAAGAAGCTTGAAGAATTAACCCTTGGTGAATTTTTGAAACTGGACAAAGAAAGAGCCAAGAACAAAATTGTATGTATTGTTGGGAAAAGAACTAAGAGCAAACCCTGTTCAGCATTTGTAGGATTAAAGCAACCAGGCCCTCAGGAGCGTTAGAGGGACCCTCTTCCTCGGGAGGCTGTCCTGGAGTGTGGATCTGGGGTTGTACTGTAGAAAAGGTGTGTTCATTGTGTGCTCCTGAGTGGGTTAAGATTGCCTTCCTGGGGCTAGGAATGTGGCTCAAAGCGGTAGCGCGCTCGCCTGGTATGCATGCGGCCCGGGTTCGATCCTCAGCACCACATACCAACAAAGATGTTGTGTCCGCCGAGAACTAAAAAATAAATATTAAAAAAAAAAATTCTCTCTTTAAAAAAAAAAAAAAACATTGACTGTGGCATTACAGTCAATTATTATTTAAAAAAAAAAAAATAGATTGCCTTCCTGCCGATAACAGCCGCTGTGGGTAATCCTTCATGTGGCTGTGTGCCCATGTGGTGGCAGGGGTGTAGACAGGTTTCTGGGACTCATGGTGAATGTACAGGAGGAGATGACAGTTCAACTAGATGGAGAGGATTTCTACAGCTGAGCTTTGCCACTTAGGCACACACACAGGGAATCTTGAGTTCACAAAGAGGTGGCTTCTAGCAGCCCAAGGTGTGGAGAATTTGATTTGCCAGAAACCAGGATTCCTAGTTAAATCTGAATTTCAGATAAACAAGGAATAATTTTTGAGTATAAGTATATCCTACATTTGGGTCAGCATTTACTAAAAATTATTATCTGAAGTTCAAATCTAACCAGGCAGCCTGTTTTCTTATATGCTGAATTTGGCAGTCCTAATAGAGGATAAGTTTGGAGGGAGATTTACTATCCTTGCAGCAAAGTGCTGTCTGTGGTTTGGGAGTGTCCCTGCTGTGTCTACTGCCCAAAGACTTTGAATTTCAGCCAGTCCTGTTCCCACACCCTGCTGCAGGACGGAGGTGAGGCCCCTCCACCTGTGATCTCTTTTTAGCTTGAAAATCATCCGGGTTTTGTGAGTGTGTGCATGTGGTGCTGGGGATGAATCCAAAGCTGTGCACGTGCAGAGACCAGGATGAAATACTTCCATCCAATGTAATAGCTTTGACATGCTGAGGGTGGCAGCAGTTCTGACCTCAGGAAGAGGGAGGAAACCAGTGGTTGGCAAAACACTGATGCACTAGGCCTGGAGAACTGCAGGCTGGGTTGGAGGTGGGCTTAAGAGGCCTTCCTGGTCAGGGGCCAGCTTCCTTTCTGCAAAGTGACCATAGGAAGTGCCATCCTTCATGGCCACACATACATATTGTGATTCATATTGGTTTTGTTTTTTCCCCAACCATTTAAAAATGTAAAAATGATTCTTAGCTCAGGATGGGCTGACTGGACAGGCCTGCAGTCCTTGCGTGCTGACCACTTTGGGTTTAAGACCAGCTTGTATTTAGGGACAGTTGGGGAAAGCTCAGGTTAGGGAGTGTTGGGGAGAACAAGGGGGCTCAGCTTGTCATAAGAATAAAATTCTAATCTATTCATACTTTCCCTTGTTGGTTTATAAAACAAAAATATAATAGGAATTTTTTGTGTAAGCCAAGTGGCACACAACTATATTGCTGTAAGGTTCTGGAACTGTGCTGTCTAGTACTGTACCCTCTAGCCACCTGTGGCTTTTAGACTTAGATTTAAAGTACAGTTCCTCTGTTGCATTCACCATTTGGGGTTCAGTAGACTGGGGGTGTGACTCAGTGGCAGAACCTGTGTTTGGCAAGAGCGAGACCCTGGGTTCAGTCCCCATCACCACACACAAAAAAAGATGGTGGAGGACTTGGCCGATACATGTGCCCAGTGGACAATGTGGGTAATAGAACCGTTTTTGTCACTGCAGAAAGTTCTGTTGGATGGGGCTACTGCAGAGTGTCAGTTATGAGGTTTTTGCAAATAATTTATAGTTAATCCAAAGCCTGCTGTGCCTGCACACTCCTGTGTGAAGGGAAGGGGCTGGGTGGGAGCTGCAGTGCAGGGGATGGGCGTGATCAGTGGTCTGCTTTTTGCAGATCACCAGGCATCCCCCCTTTGGGTCCTGTCACTTGTGGAGGTACAGTGGCGTAGAAGGGAGGTTGGGAGTATGCTCCTAAACTGCTTATAGCTCATCACATGACTACAGTTCATAACTGAAGACAGCAGTGTTTTATCAGGCATCCTTTAAAAAAAAAAAAAAACAGATAGGAACTGGGGGTGCAGCTGAACCATAGAGCACTTGCCTAGTGTGTGCACAGTCTTGGATTCATCCCCAGCACCACACACACACACACACAAAAAAAAAAAAACAGATAATGGTGTGGCAAGAGTGAGACCCTGGGTTCAGTCCCCATCACCACACACACAAAGAAAGATGATGGACGGGTGAGGGGCTTGGCCTGTAGCTCAGTGGTAGAGCACTTGCCTTGCACGTGTGAGGTACTGGGTTTGATCTTCAGCATCACAAAAATAAATAAAGATGTTGTACCAACTACAACTAAAAGAAAATAAAAAAAAAATTTTAAAAAAAAGGAGATAGGAGAAGATGCTGGGAATTTCTGAGGTCCCAGATTCAGGGTGAGGTTGCTGTTCTGGGCTTCCCAGGGTGTCAGCAGGTGCCCTGGAGGCAGAAAGCCAAGCCTACCCTGCCTGAGATGTTCAGCAGATGAATCAGTCCAGGGGGATAAATGTGAATGTGAAGGTGTAGGGCAACCCCGACATGAAGGTAGACAGACTCTTCCTTCTTTGCAAGACCTTGAGCTTGTAAAAACCTGGGCTGAGGAAAGTGTTTTGTTTTCCTTCGGTATTGGGGGTTGAACTCAGGGGCATTTGACCACTGAGCCATATTCCTAGCCCAATTTTGTATTTTATTTAGAGACAGGGTCTCACTGAGTTGCTTAGCACCTCGCTTTCACTGAGGCTGGCTTTGAACTCGCAATCCTCCTGTCTCTGCCTCTCGAGCCACTAGGATTGCAGACGTGGCCACGGCACCCAGCAAGGGTAAAGTGAAGCACTAAAAGAAGGGGCACAGAGTTCTAGCCCTGAGAAGTATTGTTTTTCAGTAGTCAATTTCTCGTTTTTCTTCACTCCTCCCTTTATTTTAAAAAAAGGTATAAAATAAGGCTGGGGTTGTGGCTCAGTGGTGGAACGCTCACCTAGCATGCATGAGGCACTGGGTTCAATCCTCAACACCACATAAATGTATAATAAAGATATTGGTCCACCTAAAACTAAAAAATAAATATTTTTTAAAAAAAAAAAGGTATAAAGTGGGTATGGAGGTGGATGCCTGAAATCCCAGCCACTTGGGAGGATGACAACTTGACAAGACCCTGTCTCAAAAATTTAAAAACTATTTAAAAGGGCTGGAGACATAGCTCAGTGGTAGGGCACTTGCCTAGCATGCGGGAGGCCCTGGGTTCCATCCCCAGCTCTGCAAAGAGGAAAAAAAAAAAACATGAACATAAAATGCAGATAATGACCTCCCCGTTGTGGCGGTTAAGTTACAGCTGTACAGAAGGGCTTGATTAGTTTTAGGATTGGTGGGGGGCAGCAAATAAACCATGTTTTTAAGGCCATCGCCTGATTTGACAGTCACATTTGCATATCAGTAAAGGTGAGGCTCCTGGGGCTGTGGAGCTGTCCATTATAAGGTGGACAGACCATTATGTGTTTGATGCTTTTGTTTTTCTTGTCAGTTTATTTATTTTTGTGTTTATTGTGGTTTGAACTCAGGGGCTTATGTGAGCTAGGCAAGTACTACACCACTGATCTGCATTCCCAGCTCTTTTTTTTTTTTTAAGGGGTGCATGAGAAGAGGGGAACCTTTTGTTTATTTAGTTGTAGTTGGACACAATGCCTTTATTTATTTATTTATCTATTTATTTTTATGTGGTGTTGAGGATCGAACCCCAGGGCCTCGCGTGTGCTAGGCAAGGGCTCCAGTGCTGAGCCACAACCCCAGCCCCCACCCCAGCTCTTTTAATCTGGTTTTGTTTTACTTTATTTATTTATAATACTGGGAATTAAATAAGGGAGCATTCTACCTTTGAGCTGTATTCCCAGCCCTTTTAAATTTTTGTTTGTTTACATTTTGGTACTGAGGATTGAACCCTGTAAGACTGGAAGACGCTGCACCACACGACACAGATCACCAAAGAGGTTTCCACTTTATTACAAAAGGTTGTGTGTTCTCAGGAGAGGTCGCAGGGCTGAGGTAGATAACAGGTCGCCCATTTATTGGCAAGCTCTTCCATATGTCAGTTCCGGAGCCCAAGAAGTTAATTCTAATTGGGGCTAAGGCTTCCCACCAGCAGAGTTTGAACGTTGGCGCCCGCAAGAACGTTTCCCACCAGTGAAAGAAACAAAGAGGAGAAAGAGGGTCGTCAGACACCATGCTGGGGTTTTTCTCTGGGGTGCTGCTGCCGTTATATGTTTTCCCAACAAACCCAAGAGCACTTTTTTTTTTTTTAAACATTTTTTTTTTTAAATTTTAATATTTATTTTTTAGTTATCGGCGGACACAACATCTGTGTTTGTATGTGGTGCTGAGGATCAAACCTGGGCCGCACGCATGCCCGGCGAGCGCACTACCGCTTGAGCCACATCCCCAGCCCTAAGAGCACTTTTTTTACTGAGCTACATCCCCGGCCCTTTTTGGATTCCGAGGTAGGGTCTGGCCGAGCTGTGTAGGCCCTTGCTAAGTTGCCCAGGTTGGCCTCCAGCTTGCTATCTCCAGCCTTGGCCACGCGAGCAGCTGGGGTTACAAGTGTGTATCACTGAGCCTAGCGCAAAATTTTTAAGTAATTTTTCTTTTAATTAATAATTTTATACTGAGAAGGACTTATACATGAGAGAAAGTTTAATATACATTAAAAAGTACATATTAAAAAGTTACTTTTGGGCTGGGTGATAGAGTGCTGGCCTAGCATGTGCAAGGCCCTGATTTCCATCCCCAGCACTGGAGAAAAAAAGTCAACCTAAAGTTAACTCTAAAAAAAGTTAACCTTTAGTCACTTTTCTTATTCAAAAACAAGTTTAATCCAATAAAGATTTTTTGTTTTTGATATAGCAGAGAAATTAAGGAGAACACAAAACAGGCGAGGGGAAGGGGTCCCCAAACCTGGTACTGTGGTTGCCATTCGCCCCTTCAGAGACAGCAGCGTTGGCAGAAGAGGAGGTCTGAAGCCAGATTTGAGGAGGGACTGCCGGTGAAAGGCCTTCCTTCTGGGGGTGAGCTAGTGTTGACAGGGTCTGTTGAGTGGGAGCAGGCAGGGAGGCTCTGGACTGTGCCTGAGGCCTTGAGAAGCTGAGTGGAGGCCGGGCCTGGGGCCCAGAGGCAGAGCGCTTGCCTAGCGTGCATGGGGCACTGAGTTCGATTCTCAGCCCTGCATATAGATAAATACATAAAAATAGAGAAGCTGGAGGATGGTGTCTGGGGATAGAGCTCTCCCAGACTGGCCGGGTGGCCTCCACCTGCTTCCTTTCACAACAGATGTGATGGTCCCTGCTGCACTGGAGGACGGGAGGTATAAGCGACAAAGCAGTTCAGTGGCAAGCAGGTGGAAGGGTGCCTCCGTGCTTACTGTTATAGACCCCATAGGAAGTGGCCTGAATCAGAGTCAGGGAGTTGAATCTGGATACTGGTCCCCGTGTGGCCTCCCCTGGGTGTCTCCCCGAGCAGGAGCCCAGTGCTGGTGGGTGCTCAGTCAGAGTTCCCTTTCTGACCTTATCCACGGGTGTGATTGAGAAGTGTTAGTTTCCTATGAATGTGTCTTTTCTCGCTTGCTCCCCTTTCTTTTTTTGTGGTCCTGGGGCTAAATCCAGGAACTTGCAGGAGGAAGGCAAGTGCTCTGCTGCTGAGCCCCAGCCCCCACTTGAGTGTACCTATTTTTTATTTCTAGGCAAAGGAAACCAACAGCAAGCAGAAAGAATTCGAGGAAAATGCCAGGAAAGTCCGGCAAGCTATGGAGCAGCTGGCTGCCTTAGAGTGAACCCTGCCGTGGTCACCTGGTCCCAGGCCTGTCCCCCGTGTTACTGCCTGTCTGTGGAACTCCTACGGGTACCTTAGGAAAGGAGAATGCTTTCCTAAGGTACTTGTAGGAATTTTGAAATTGGACGTTTAGACTGAGTTTTGTTTCTCCTGAAGTGGCATCAGCGCCTCTCTGCTTGTGTGGCGGTGCTGCCTGTGACAGTAGCTGTGCCTCTCCCTCATAGGTGGCTCTTGCTCTGTTGAGCCCTGGCTTGGAGGCAAGAGTGGGGAGGAAGAGGGCAGAGTCCCTGCGACTAGACCTGATGGGCAGCGGAGGAGGGCAGATGCCTGCACAGGAGTTGCTGATCTTGGTGTTCCCAATAACCTGTGAGCCGCTGGCTGCTCGTAACTCTCCTGTCTTTCTGATGTGACTCCTCCTACAGGGTGATGGAATAAATTAATTTTTAAAAATGGATTTAAAAACTTCTCTCGAGGAAACTGGTTATGTTTGTTTGTTTGTTTGTTTTAATTTTTAATATTTATTTTATTTTTTTTAGTATTTGGCGGACACAACATCTTCGTTTGTATGTGGTGCTGAGGATCGAACCCAGGCCGCACGCATGCCAGGCGAGCGCGCTACCGCTTGAGCCACATCCCCAGCCCTTATGTTTGTTTTTTAAATAAGTAGCTTGTTTATATTTTTTATGGTCTTATAGGGTCATATTCAGGGACCTGGAGCTTCAACCCCAGCATGGACTAAGTGGAGTTTAGCCGATAGTAATAGAGCGTTTTGGGGACCCTCCTGGCCTGGCTTGGAGCACTCCACAGTGCTGCCTCCCCGCCGCAGCCAGGCGTCCTGAGCCACAGTTTCTCCTCCATCACACCTGGGCTGCTCCCACCCTTCACTTTTTCTTTTTTCCCATAGATACATGCTTTTTGTTTGGTGAGATGAATTGAGACAAAGCCTCTCTCTTCCTTAAGTTTTACTGTGTATTTCTTTTTTAATTTATTTGAATTATTGTTTCACAGATCATAAACTACAGTTAAAGGTAAGCCCAAGATGGGTGCAGTGGCCCAGGTCTATAATCCCAGCTCCTCAGGAGGCTGAGGCAAGAGGACTGGGCAACATAGTGAAACTCTGTCTCAAAATAAAAAAATTTAAAAAGCGTTGGTGCTGCAGTCTGGCTGGGCACAAATCACCAAGCCGCCACAAAGCACTTGTATGTTCAAACAGGAAACTTTATTGCCTGAACTCCAACAGCACTCCACGCACACTCCCTGGGAACTTTCCCAAATGCCACCCACGCGGCCCCCAGGAACACCACACACCAACCGGAACCCCAACCCGCCCCCCCCCACCAGAACTCAACGGGAACTCCAAAGTAGTGGGTGCCCGAGGCAGCAAGAACCGCCCTATTACCGGGCCATTCTGACTTGGCTGTGGCACGTTGGGGATGTAGCTCAGTGGTGGAACATTTGCCTACCATGTTTGAGGCCATGGGTTTGATCCTTAGTGTTGTTTAAAAAAATGGAAGCCCAAAGCCATCCTAAGGCCCTGGAGAGAACAGCCTTGAAGAAAAGTGAGACAGACAGGCATGGTAGTTTACACCTATAATCCCAGTTACTCGGGAGGCCAAGGCAGGAGGACTCCAAGTTCAAGGCCAGCCTAGGCAATGAGACCCTGTCTCAAAATAATAAAAGGGATAGGCTGTAGGTCAGTGGTAAAGTGCCTCTAGGTACAATCTCGAGTATCAAAGAAAAAGGAAGAAGAAAAGGGACAGTAAGACACCATGTCCCTGAGTGTCCCTTTCTAATCCCAAACACCCAGCTAAATTAAGGGGAGAACAAGAGCAAGTCTGGGCTGCAGTGTGTGATATGTGTTATCTTGAAGGATACAGGCTTTCTCAGGTCTGCTGAGAACAAAGGCAAAGTGATGGTACCTGTGGACAGCTGCTGCTTAGGATGCTGTCATACAAGGACCAAAGCTGATTAATGGTGTCCCTGCTTCTGCAGACTGACTTGTCATCTCCTGCCTCTGGTGCTGGGGTTGAACCCAGGGGCACTCCACCACTGAACTATATCCCCAGCCTTTGTTTATTTTTACAGGGTCTTGCTAACCTGCAGAGACTGGCCTTGAACTTGCCGTCCTTCCTGCCTCAGTCTCCCAAGTTACTGGGATTACAGGTGTGGCCACTGCACCCCAGCCTGTAGAGCCTCTCCCTGTGGTAACTAGTGTGGGTCAGAGCCCTGTGGAGTGAAAAGTGCTCATTTGGGCAGCTATCCCTGGACAAAGCAACGTAAGGGATAGGAGGCGTGACCGTCTGGAGGGGCACCAGACTGCCTGGAAAGCATCTGTCCAGCTGCCACCCCACTGACCCTCCCTATAAACATTTTTCAATAAACCTTGTTTCTCATCCCATCTCTGGGTGTCTCCCTGGTGTCTCAGCAACTATCCCACTGCCTTGCACAACTGCAGTGAATGTTACCCTGGTGAAACCTCTTTAGGTGGGTCTGGAGACGCCAGAGGCTTGTTCTGAAACTGTTGTCCCATGAGACAGCCGAGTGAACCAAGGGCACATGCTGCTATTCCACCAGCAAGAAAGGCCGCAGCCTGAATCTTTTTTTTTTTCCCCTTGAGTCTTTTATTTTGAGTTCTTACAAAAACAGGAACAACAAAACACAGAAGCCATAACCAGAGGAATAGGCTTGGGGTCAGCAGAGACCAAGTGCATGGGCCGAGAACACCCTTGGCCTCACTGGGTCTGCGCAGCCTGAATCTTTTTAAGCTGCTTGGCTTAGTGCTCTGGCCCTGCTGGGCCACTGCCTCCCTGAAGCCTACAGTAAGATGCTGGGTTGGTTTCACCCTCGTGAAGCTAACCTGCAGGGTGGGTAGCTGCAGTCCCAGTGGAGACCTGGAGGTTGTCTTTGTTGTCATTTCTAACTGCAGACCCTACTGGGCTTTTAAAATATTGTCTGCTTTTTTGTGGTAATTCCTTCTTTGCTAACCAAGCTTCCCTGCTGCCGCAGGGTTGCTGAGGGATGAGGATCCTGGCAGAGGAATGGGCAGCCTGCTCTGTAAGAGCCACAGCCCCGCTGGCATGGTCCAGACCCATCCTGAGTGTACACATGCAGCTACGAGAAAATGTCCCTGAGATTTAGTTATTTCTGCCCATTTCAGTAAGAGAGAGGGGTCTGTTTTCCCCTGTAAACTTGGAGAATATTGCAGGGTTTTTTGTTAGGAGAAAAAAAAGCTCCCTTCTCATTCCCTTGAGCTGCCTGTTTCTGATATCTGTGCCTGTCTATAAAAGGAGATTTCAATGGGGTCAGTCCTGGCATCTGCGGCTGGTCCCCCGTCCGGCTCACCACACCACTTCCCTCTGCTGGAAGCTTATTTTCTAAAGCACACTTACCACCAGACTTTAGTGACCACCAATGTCAGCATCTATCAATGAAGCCTCGGGCCCTCAGAGCAGCCGCCTCAACTTCCAGTTGGGTGTTCACTTGGTTTGGAGTTGGTGGTGACTGGGGAGGTGTAAGGAAGCCGTGGGTTGGTGCTGGGCAGGCTGATTCTCAGGTGCCAGGCTGTGGTTCCCACAGGCCCACTGGGCATCAGAACCTCTACTGGCTCCAAGGAGTGGAAACTGCAAGGCACTGTGGAAAAATAAAGTGCTGGCCCTCCCTCTGCGGAAGACTGACACGCCAAATGCAGAGGCGTAGCTCAGTGGGATAGCACTTGCTGGCATGTGCGAGGCCCTGGGTTCCATCTGCAGCACAGACAAAACCCGAAACCCGTGTCTAGGGGTTTGCACCCCCTAAGCACTAGGGCTGGGCTTGAAACCCAGGCAGTTTCCCAGAGGTGGGCCCTCAAAGCCAGATGACACTGCCCAGGCTCAGGGGTATGGCTGAGGTCAAATGTCTGGCTCCAGGGGAAGAGGAATGGCTAAAAAGTGTCCCCGTCCACTTTCAGATGGCTTCAATTGTCAGAGTGCTGTGGTTACAGGGAACCGACGCCTGCCTCCCAAGGCTTTGCGGTATGATACTTTATTTTTAAATGAAGGTCTGCAGGAAGTTGCAAAGATGGTACAGAGGACTCTGGGGTACCGTTCCCTGCTTGCCCCATAGCAATGACAGGACACAGTGTCTGTCTGAGCTGAGAAGAGGGCAAGTTGGGCAGCCAGCCTTCTCCAAGCCAGTCTTCCCCCAGGAAGGGCTTCCTGCCTGACTCAGGGCGACTCTCACCCTGAACAGAGCCGAGGACCAGCCAGGCTGGGGGTTTTCTTCCCGCTGGGCTTAGTCCCGTATCTGCATATTTTCTGCTGGATGGGATCAAACCTGGGCCTTGGCCTTCAGAGCTGCTTCCACCTAATCCCCAAGTGGTGACATTTATTCATTCGGTCAGTCACCTACTGAATGCCAGGCACCATTCCCAGGAATTGAGGCCAGAAACCTTTCTCCTAATTGGGGCCTTCAGGGCTTCTCCTTGTTTTCTGAAGGTGGGAAGAAAAAGGTCTACGAAGCCCTGACTAGGATGGGTGTGAGCCAGGACTCCAGGCAAGGGTGATTAACTGCCTCGGTGGCATCAGGAAAAGACGTCACTGAGCATTCTGTTGTCCAAGCCTAGTGGGAGGCTGCCAAAGGGACTGGGCAGGGACAGCTGCTGGGGGAAGAAACGGCAAGGGCAGGGCGCTGGGGCCCTGCAGGTGTGGGGCAAGGGCGTAGCCCCAGGAGCTCTGGCAACAGCCTCGCAGAGCATTTCAATAGGAGGAGACCACCCTGCTAGTCAACTGCCAGTCACGGCCACGTCTCTCAAAGGACCCTGGCCACCCACGGGAAACACAAAGGCAAGTGTCTGCAACCTACTCCCCGTCATTTAAGAACCCTGTAGAATGTTCTGTGTTGATTAGAACAGAGCCTCCGCTCTGCCAGGATGAATGAGCTCAATTTTGCCCTGAGTGGGTGAGGTGACCTGTTGGGAGGGTGATTTAAGGAGGTTCATTTTCTGTCGCAGAATGCCTGCCAAGTGCCGCAAAATTGGTCTCTGTAGAGCTGATGCCAGGCTGCTCTGAGGGTAATTAGCCCGTGGTTTCAGCTGCTTCCTCAGTCCTGTGTTGGGGACAGTAGCTGGTCATTCTGGAGCCGGAGGCTTGCCTGCCAGATGGCCATGGATGGGGCCAGCCATCCTGCTCCTCCCCACAAAGGCCAGTGGTGCTAGGTAGTTAGATGTGGCCTAGAAGAACAGAAGCTTAGATGCAGCCTTATTTTTGTCATTGAAAAATGGAGTGTCCCCATCATGAGCCTGCTCCTGCCCCTGATTTCAACCGTGGTGGTCTGACGCTGGCTTTGGAGAGCTGGGAGAGGCTTGGCATCTGCCAGAGTGGGGTCCAAGCTGAGGGAGGAAAGAGGAAAATGGGAGGTAAGGGTCCTTCTAAAGCAGCTCCTCTTCAGCTGGGCTGTAACTGAGTCCACTTCAAGGGAAGTACACTGGCAGGATTCATCAGGTGGCCCCTCAAGGTTGGGTGCCTGCTGTCCAGGGGACAGTCTAATCCAGCTGCTCATCTGGGCTTAAACCCAGAACCCAGGTCTGAAAGCAGAGTGTGTGTGGACTGCTGACTGGCCACCTCCCAGCCCTGTAGCATGTGGGCGACAGACGTGTGGCTTGGAAACCTCCCTCTGGGTCCCACCCTCCTGGCCCTGACAGCTGCTTCCCTTCTTGCCCAAGCTGTAGTAGGTGCAAGAACAGAGATCCTTTCAGACCTCCTCAGCTCAAGGTCGGAGGCTCACTGGGAGGAGGCATGAAGAGACACACAGTTCCTCTAGCTCCCCCCAATAGTCAATTCACATCTTATCCACGCGGGCATGTGTGACACATAGGTTTTGACTCAGCCAAAGCCACATTGACTTGTACTGTTTTACTGTGACTGCTGGGGAGCCCCGAGTTAGCACTCTTCACCACTTTTTTCCCTACTGTAATCAGAGTGGATGGAGGGCTTGAAGGAGGCCCTGGAGCAGGACAGGCTGCCCCACTCCTCTCTCTTCCCCACTCCTGCTTTTGGAGGCTACAGTCCTTGGAGCACCTGCTAAATTCTCTCACCTTCGGGGTCCAATTGGCTATGGACTGCCACATGGCTCCAGAGCAGGGCTGCTCCAGCCCGAGGGGCTGTCAGCACAGTGGGCCCCTTGGCTGATGCAGTGGGTATCAGTCTGGTGGGGTGTGTGGAAGGATGAACAGCCTACACAATCCAGGAACAATTCTACGCCACTCTGAATTCCTTGTGAAATACTGTTTCAATAACTTTGCTGGAATTGCTTTTACTTCCATGTTCATGTTCTACAAACCAGCAGGAGCCTAGTCAGAGAAAAAATGGCCCAAACACTTGGAGTTGAGAGGCCTGGGTTGACCATAAGTCATGCAGCTGCTGCATTCAGGACGAGGCACAGTCAGTGAAGATGCCAAATTCAACCTCTCCCCTCTCTGCAAGCCCTGTCCAGCCCTGGGGTAGCCACCCAGGGAAAGCCACCCAATCTGTCCTGCCCTCTCAATAGTGCCAGTGCCCATGCCCGGGTTGGGGGACTCTGTGAGTCCTCTGCCTCCTGTGCCCTCTTTTTGCATGCTTAGTGAGTGGCTGAGTAGAGACTGGCTTGCCAGATGTGTGTCTGCAGCTAGGAGCCCGTCTGGAGCAAGCTACCCCTGGCACTCACACTGGCCCCATTCCAATGATCCCATTTGGTTAGTCCTCAGGACTGATCAAGACCAGAACTCCAGGGCCAACTGGGGCCAGTGCCCAGCTGAGGCATCTTCTTTTCCAGGCTCAGATGCTTCCAAGAACTTTGGGTGAGTAGTCCAGCAGCCCAGGGACAGGTCTCAGGCTGACCCTGCATCCCTCAATTGCGGGGCAGCCGGGTCAAGCAGTCGTAGGCCCACTGTGTTGCTGAAGAACCTGAGTTCAGAAACATCCCGAGCACTTGTGGCCAGCTCCCCTCCTGGGGACGCTAGGATTTGAATCCGGGTCTGTGGCTCCGCTGCATCCTTAGGCTTTGCGACTTCTTCCTCCTTTCCCTTTGGGACAAACCTGGCCACCACAGAAATGTGGCATCGGTTTCCTTGCAAAACTGAGGGCACCACGCGGCCAGCGGCGCCAGAAAAGCAGTTCCTTGCAAAAGAGCCTCCAGCAGCGCGACGACCCTCCTGCTGAGTGCGCTGCCCCTGCCCCTGGTCCAGTCCTGCCCTGCTCCGCCCCCTCCACGCCCATCTGCGGCTCTCGGGACGCCCCCCACTCCGCCTCCATTTCCCCCACTCTCCCAGCCCCTGCGTGTCCTGTTGCCCTCTCCGAGCTTCCCTGCCCGCGCCCCCAGACCCCGGCCCCGCTCCCCGCTGGGCTCGCCCCTGCCCCGCTCCCTCGGCTCCCTCTCCATGGCCCGACTGGCCGCGCTGCTGCTGGCCGCTGCCCTGGGCGCGCTGCTCAGCTTCGCGCTGCTGGCCGCCGCGGTCGCCAGCGACTACTGGTACATCCTGGAGGTGGCGGACGCCGGTGACCGCACCGACCGCGCCGAGCGGCTGTCCTCGCACTCGGGGCTCTGGCGCACTTGCGAAGGTAAGCGCCCCCGCCACCCCGCGCCCTTCCCCTCCGAAGTCCCTTCCCCCGCTCGTCCCTCCTCCCAGATCCTGCCCGCAGAGCAGTCTGCCCCTCAGGGGGTCTCTCAGCCCCCTCCCTGTCACTCTCGTCCCCCTCAAACTTGTGGTGACAGTTGGGCTGTGGAGAGGAAGGGACTGACTCCTCAGGGACACGCCGGGGCAGCGGGGCCAGAGTTGGGAAGAGGAAGGGGGGTTGGCACTGTGCGACCCCACAAGGACCTCAGGTACCTTCCTCTGGAACCTGCCTTGGCTAGAGATGGGGTGGCACATCATGTGGGAGATTGCAGGTCACCCCAAGGCACGCATGGTCCTTCGGGTCGCTGGGTAATTTGGGACCTGTCCCTATTCAACCTCCAAGTCTTGGAAACTCAGATGGGAGGAAGCTGAGGCCTCCTCGCGAAGGAGGAGGGAGAGCAGGGAGGCTTGCCCGCCCAGCCCCAGCAGCTGCCCCTGCTCTGTGGCTCCTCTGCCAGGTGACCCCCACGGCCTTCCTGGAGGGGAGGGGTGGGGCTGGGTTGGAATCGGGGCCAGTGTGGGAAGCCCGGGTGTGGGTTGCTGGGGTCTCTGGAAAGGCTATGGGTCTAACCCCAAGTGACCAGGAGTTGCTTCTGTAGATGACTGCGCCTGGGCCCTCCCAGCCCCGCCTCTCCACTCTGGGGCCAGCCTGGGGTCCCCCCCCCCCCCCCGCCCCGCAGGATGAGCCCTGGGTGGCTGGGGCCTTGGGAGGCTGTGAAGCGTGTGTGTATGAATGTGACAGCACGCATCAGTGTATGAATGTGAGTGTATATGTGAGTGTGAGTGTGAGCTTGTGTGAGCACATGCTAGTATGAGCAGGCACATGGGTATGAAGGCGTGTAAGTAGAGAGCTTGCGTGCTGTTTGCCCACGCGTGTGGCTGAGCGAGCACTGTGTGTAGGGGTGTGTGTGTGTGTGTGTGTGTGTGTGATGAGGAGAAAGGGCTGAGCGTGGTCATCCTCTTGACAATGGGTGTGTGTGCACACATACGTGCATTGTGTGGGTTGCATGTGCGTGAGTCAGTGCCCACAGGACCTGAGGAGTCTGGCCTTGTTTTTTTTTTAGTTGTAGTTGTACACAATATCTTTATTTATTTATTTTTATATGGTGTTGGGGATGGAACCCAGGGCCTCGCCCGTGCTAGGCAAGCGCTCTATGGCTGAGCCACAACTCCAGCCCCAAGTCTGGCCTTGTTATTGCAGCATCTCGCAGGAACCTTGCACTGGGCAGTCTGGAGGGGAGCCTGTCCAGATTTTTTTTTTTTTTTTTTTTTTGGTACCAGGAATTCAACTCAGGTGCACTTAACCACTGAGCCACATCCCCAGCACTATTTTTTGTATTTTATTTAGAGACAGGGTCTCACTGACTTGCTTAGCGCCTTGCTTTTGCTGAGGCTGGCTTTCCTCCTGCTTCAGTCTCCCACTGGGATTACAGGCATGCACCACCGTGCCCCACTGGAGTGTTAGAGATTTTAAACACACATCCATGCAGCTGTGACCTGTTCATTAAAAGAAATTAAATAAGGCTGGGGATACAGCTCAATTGGTAGAGTGCTTACCTAGCATGCATGAGGCCCTGGGTTCCATCTCCAGCACCACATTAAAATAATAATAATAAAATATATAAACCAAACAAGGTCTTGAACCTCTAATCCCATTTGAAGTCCCAGCCCCAAGTTCCAGGGGAGAGATTCCAATAGGGCCCCAGGGCCACAATTTGTCCACATGGCTCTGGGGGCTGCTGGGTGCCCATTGTCCCCAGCTCCTGCTTTGCACTTCGGCTTTCCAGGGCAGAACAGCTGCATACCCCTGATCGACCCCTTCAGCAGCAAGGGCCTGGATGTCTCCCCCTCAGTGCAGCACCTTCTCTGTGAGTCCGGGCAGTGCCATCTCTGCCATATCCCTGATTCTTTGGGCAGGGCTGGGACAGAAGCCATCCCACCCCAGCCCACCCCGAACTGCTTCCAATGGCTTGCTGTTACCAGGGGACTTTTCCATCCATAGCTCCTCTCTCTCCAGGTGGCTCCTTACATAGGCACAGCTCAGCCTGCTTGGCCTCCCTGTGCCCAGTTCCCTTTCAGTGGTAACTGCCCACCCCTAGTTGTCGGGGGAAGCAGGCGGCTGTGGCATGACTGGAGCTGGTGAAGCCCATGAGCTCCCCTTTTTGGACTCTCTGTTATCTTTCCAGATGGACAGTTGGTCAGCCTGGCACGCATCTCCCCCTGGTGGGTTAGCGGGCACATGTCTGCTGCCCCAGAGAGACCTGAGAGTAGGGGTAGGGAGGGTACTCAGGAGTCTTCCTCACCCTGGCCTCAGGAAGGCTGCACAGGACGACAGGTAACCACTGGGAAGGTCCTGTGGTTGCCATGGAGACAGGCATCAGCTCAACCCACCCCCACCCTGGCCCAAGCAGGTGAAGCAGCATATCACTGTCCTCTGGGCAGGCTGGCCTCCACCTTCCTGGGGGCAGGGTCCCTGTCTGCCTGCCCCTGAGCCCCCTCTCTCACAGCGCTGCACCGAGCTGTCATGGTGGTCCTTCCGTTGAGCCTGATCCTCATTGTGTGCGGCTGGGTCTGCGGCCTGCTCAGCTCCCTGGCCCGGAGTGTCCCTCTGCTGCTACTCACCGGCTGCTACTTCTTGCTGGGGGGTGAGTCCAGGGTTTCTGGGAGAGCCAGCTGGGACTGCAGATGCTGGGAGTGGGACTCTACCTCCCTGCGCCCCTGCCCATCCTGTTCCCCTCTGGGCTACGTGGAGCCTGGGAACCCCCAGGCCACAGAAGTGCAGCAGAGTCTCTGGCTGGGACCTGTATGCAGGGCCTACCAGAGTGGAGCTGGGCCGCTGGAGCCTCCTCACAGTGACTCTAGGACCTGCTTCCCCAGGACAGGTGGTGCTGGGGCTGTGGGATGCCCCCAGCTGCTGTCCTCACACCCCACCTGTCCTGATGGGTGGAGTAGGGGAGGGGGCAGGGTTCTGACACAGGTGAGGCAAGGCCAGGCACCAGGTGGGGTGAGCTAGGGCATCAGGGTCCTTGGCATTGACCCCAATAGGCCCAGATTATACTTCGGTAGTGCTGCAGCTGACAGGTGCTGGGCACTGGGCCCAGCACTCCCCCAGCACCCCCAATGCCACCTTAACAGCTAAGAGTCCTGAGGGTCTGAGAGGCCCCAGGACTCTCTAAGGTGAGAAGGAAAATGGTCCTAGGCCCCCTTCACTGTTTTTGGTGTTGTCTGCCCCAGCCACCAAACTCCCCTCCTGCCAGGCTGGTTGTCACTGAAGGTGGCTTCTTGGGGTCAGCCCTCAGTGGCCCCTGTCAGATGTGTGTTGGGTCTGGTGTCTTAGGCTAGTTCTGCTGTCATGGTGACAAAGACCAGACCATACGGGGCTGGGGTCCCCTCCCGGGCAGGCCTGCTTCCCTCCCCAGGGGATGCTGGACTCTGGTAGACCTTTATCAGGAGCAGGTGGTGGGCCTCGCTTGGAGCTGAGGTTGGGGAATCATCAGCCTTGGTTTTGGCCACAGGACGGCAAGGTCTCCTTGACTTGAGAATAAAATTGGGAATAGTCAAAGTGTCAGCTGTGACCTTGACCAGGGTCAGAGTCTGCAAGGGTCCAAGATCCAATTTAGAGGACCTTGGGAACCCCAGAGAGGAGGAGTTGGCTTGGGACTGTACCCAGGAAGCCTGTGCTGACAAGAAACCTCTGCGCTGTGCCTGGAACAGGGCGCGGGTGCAGGCCAGGCTCTGGAGGCAGCTCCAGCCTCCCGGGGCGGAGGGTGCACCACTCCAAGGAAGGGGAGTCCAGAGGGGCAAGGGTTTGAGGCTGGATGGCTCCACGGACATCCCGCAGCCCCCCTTGCTCAGGGCACTCCTGGGAGCCACCTGAGTCTTGGCGCCAGCTCCTAGCCTGCAGGGCAGAGGGTCAGCTATGGACAGCAGTGCTGGGGCTCTGAGACAAGAATGTCACACCATGGGGACCTCCCTGAGGCCAGCTCGCCCCCTGCTACCCCATTAGCGCTGTAAGAAGGGGAGGGCAAGGTGGTATCTGGGAGAGAGGGCCCTGCTGAGTGTCCATCAGTGCTGACCAGGAGAGGGGTGGGGTGGTGAGCTGCCTGCTGGGCTCCGTTGACAGGACCTGTGGACCAGGGGTCCCCTAGGGATACCCTGAGCAGCCACCCTGCCCCTTCTCTCTCCAGGTGCCCTGACCCTGGCGGGGGTCAGCGTCTATATCAGCTACTCGCACCTGGCCTTCGCGGAGACTGCCCGCCAGTACGGCCTGCAGCACATGCAGGGCGTCCACATCAGCTTCGGCTGGTCAGTGGCCCTGGCCTGGGGCTCCTGTGCCCTGGAGGCACTCAGTGGCACCCTCCTGTTGGCAGCCGCCCGAACCCTCAGCCTGAGCAGGCTCCCAGGTGCTCCCCACTCTGTGGCCATCTGAGCTGGGGGGCGGGGGGGGGCAGTGCTTGGCATCTCCTGGGAGTCCCGTTCTGCAGGCCTGGCTAGAGCCTGGCCTGGAACACCCTGGATGGCACACTGGGGAAGCCCTTGGCCAGTCATGCTGCTTTGCCCTTCAGATACAGATAGGATTTCCTCCTCTTAGAGACAAGGAAGTGTCTGGACAGAGGAGGCCAGGGCCGCAAGGCACATGGGTTCTGGGTGGTACAGTCGGGTGGGGGTACCTTGGGCTCCTGGGTTCTCTGGGGGTGTTCTTGTCTCTTGGGCTATGGCTGGCCCTCCTCAGCTACCCACATTCCTAATGACCTGTCTCGATGAGGGGTGGCTTCAGAGTGCACAGGTGTGTGTTAAATATGAGTACCCCCTGTTCCCTGGCCCTCACAGCCCTGTGCAGTGGTCACCTTTCACCCTGTGTTGCTGGGGGAGACCAAGGCCCAGACCACTCAGGAGCCAAGGGCAGGACCCAATGTTCTAGTAGGTTGGTGGGACCCCAGGCCTCTGTTTTGTCCCCATCCTCCAGAGCAGGGTTGTTAGGGAGGAGAGCAAGGACAGGGCGGAGATCCCTTTAGTTTATAGGCAGACTGGCTCCCACCCCATGTGCCCTGCCCCTCCCTTGTCTTCCCACCAGGTGGGTGACTCTGCACGCACCCAGGTGGGGCATATGCTGCAGGCCATGGCTCCTGCTGGCTCTGACCCTTCCCTTCTGCAGCAACTTGGGGATGCTTGTAACTGCCAAGGGCCCTGGGGCAGCTTGACTGACAGATGTGGAGGTCCCAGAAGGGCAGGGTGGGGATGGGGAACTCTGTGCCATGGTGGGGGCATCTCCACCATGGGGTGCGATGTGGTGGGGTGAGCTGGAGCCGTGCCTAGCCCGCCCTGTGAGTGACCTGGATGAAGGGGCTCCTCAGCCAGAAGGGCTGGGGCTGCCAGGTGGCAGGGGCCAGGCCTGGAGTTTGGGCTGCAGACTTGTTGAGCAATCGGTAGAGGCTTAGTGGGGTGGGGCCTGCTCATAGGCCCAGGCTGGTCCAAGGACGAGATGTGAGGACAGGGCCATCCAGCCCCCCCTGAGTCATCTTGGGCCACAGGGAGGGGCAGGCATGTTTTTATGTAGGTGGACAGCTGGGCAGATGCAGGAAAAGGGGCCCCAGGGAAGGTCCTGGAAGCCCCATTTCCTGTGCAGGGCCTTCCTGAGCTTTGGGCCATGTGAGGGGAAAGATGACACCTTTAGAGCTTTGACCTCCTCCCCTGTTTGTCCTTATTGCTCCTGAGGACATGGAGCTGGCACAGATTTGGCAGGGCCCACCGAGACAAAGAGCTGGGCAGTCGAGTGGGGCTTCTCTTCCTACCGTGTTTGAACATTGGCCACTCCCTGTGGGAACACTGTGCTGATCTGTCCTTGAATAAACCAGCTTGTGCTCTGTGCAGACGGAGCTCTGTGTTTTTTTTCTTAGAATTTTTCAAAATAGGCCCTATTTGTCCTTGCCTCACAGACGCTGTGAAGGTGAGCAAGCACTGTTAGCAGTGGTGTGTGCATGTCTGTACCTCCAACGATGTCCTGTGTGTCTGCTTGCACAGTTGTCAAACTGTCCAGCCAGAGTCCTGTGTGCACATACGTGTGCATGTGTGTGCACATCCAGCCATGTCTCCTGCAGACCAGGGCCTCCTCCTCCCCAGGTCGGCTTGGGCTGGAAGGAGCTGGGCCTGCAGCTGGGTCTGGGCAGCTCCCTTACTCAGCAGGAAAGGTTTCTCAGCCCGTGTTTGCTGCGGAGCTCAGGGTGTGAGTTCAGCCTCAGGCCCCTCTGCTTGCAGACGGGCTTGGGCTCTGGGGCTAGGACTCTAGGAATACCCCCACAGGTGGCTGCAGGGACACCAGATTTGCTTAAGGATGTGCATGTGGCCTGCAGAGTGTGTGGGTAGGCATGGGGCTTAGCCAGGACACTTGAGCCCTCCACTCTGGAGGGCCAGTCTCTGTGGTGATTGGGTTGCACTGTTTCATAGTTCAGTGGCCAAGGTGAGAAGGCAGGTAAATGCCACTAGGGAAGGTTCAGTGGTGCTTCAGGGCTGCTGAGGACAGGTAACCAATGACAGTCACAATGCACGTGACTCGGGGCAAGAAGCCGAGGAGGGCAGGAGAGCACACCTCAGTTCCCACAGCCCCGTGCCAGGCCTGACGAGGAAGCCCCCTAGAGCTCCCCCTCCTCACACCCAGTGAAGCCGCACCCCAGCGATGGTCCAGCTCTGCTTCCTTCCTGAGACACATTCGTCCACTCCATCTTGTAGCTGGCTCTGTTGCCACTTATGCCCTGACCAGGGCCTGAGCTGGGAGTCTAGAGGCTGCCCTGAGCTCAGACCCACAGGTGTAAGAGCAGCCCCATAGTGGCGCCAGGGACCCTGGTGTGCCCCAGCCACACTGAGTCAGGGCTGACGGTGTCACCTGTGAAGTCACAGTGCACTGCAGCTCCTGCCTCTGTGCTAGCCAGCTTTACATCATTGCCTCACATACTCGACAAGAACAACTTAGAGGAGGAAACGTTTATTTTGGCCAGTTTCAGAGGTTCCGTCCGTGGTCAGCTGACTCCATGGCTCTGGGCCCGAGGTGAACAGAGCAGAATGGCAGCAACTGGGGGAGACTGCTCCACTCCTGGCAGCCAACAAGCAGAGGGAGGGAAGGGGCTGCGGGGAGGATGCACCCTTCCAGGGCACACCCCAGTGAGCCACCTCCTCCAGCTGCCCCATCTGCCTGACAGGTCACGGCTCTCATAATCTAGTCACTTTACCTCTGAATGATCCTGCACTAACCCAGGAGGTCTTGGGTGGCACCTCATATCCAAACCATAACACTCCATCTCTTAGTTGCTGCTGGTGGTGGTGTTGGGGGGGGGGGCAGCTGTTGTGTTGGGAGGGTGCTCCAGTAGTCCTGAGCAGATGCCACCCACACAGGAACCCAGGACTCCACCAAAGCCAGCTGCAATATGCCAGCCGTGTGGGTGAGCCACCAGGGAAGCAGATTTGTCAGATAGTGTGGTCCAGGTGATGTCCCACCTGCAGCCTCAGGAGAACATCCAAGACAGGACCCCTTGGCTCAGCTACTTCCTGATTCCTAACCCACAGAAACGGAGAAGTAGTGAATTATTGTTACAGAAGGGGCTTCTGAGTTTGGGGGGATTTGTTGCACAGCAATGGCGAGCTGACACTCATCCCAGAGCAGGGCAGACGTGCGCCACAGGCTGGGTGCTGGCTTTCTGTGATTCTCTGAGTTGCTTGTTCCTCAAGCACCAACGAGCAGTTCTGGGCCCTGGAGAGCCCCGGATGCTGGGTCTCCAGACTGCAGATTTGGATCTGTCTGAGGGGTGGCGGGGACGAGGGACAGTCCTCCGCCACAGCCCCTGCTCTTCTCCCATTGCACATGCTCGCTGCAGTCTAAGATGTCCACCATGCTGCTGTCTCCGGCATGTGGGTCTTCGGCCACCTCCTGAGCACTGTGCCTATGTGTCTGGCAGCTTCCTAGCCACCTCCACTTGGGGTCTTGATTGAGCACTACTATTTTTTTTCTGTGTAAAATGGGTTTATTCATTAGAGATAAGTAAAGGGGGGGACCACAGAAACCTAGGACTTATTACAGCCTGTCCCTCACCAGGGATCAAGGAGGATGGGGTTTCATCTGCACTTACTCCACTCGCATCTCAGCTGAGGGACTTGAGAGAGGAGCCCGTACTGGGGTGACATGGGCTACAGTTCCAGAGGCCATCCTGTTTCTGGAGTGGACGGAAGCCTAGCACCAGCTGCTCTGGGTGGCAAGTCCTTATCTCCTGGTGTTGCGTTCTCAGTACATCCTCAAGTTGTTCTTGACAACTTGACAGATATCTTTGTCCTCATGAACTCTTGGGTGCAGCACTTTCTAAATGAGCCACCCAAGGACGATCCTTCAGAGCAATAAGCAACACACTGTGTAGTCGAGGCTTCAATCTCATAGCCCAGGGTCTATTTTCTGGGGCATTTTCCCACAAAGAACCTGCAAAGAACACCAGTCCTAAAAACACCCCTACACTGAATTTCTGGCACTTTTATCTTGAACTTTCTAGCCCTCAGAATTTTAAGGAATAAATTTATGTTTATAAGCCACCAGTTTATGGCATTTTGTTATAGCAGCCTGAATGGATTAAGACAACTTTAAAATAAAAGTATTGACTCTAGGGAAGGGATCATTTGAAGGTGGTTTTGAGAAACCCACCCCACTGTTTTTCTCTGTGAAAACATTCCCTAGAGAATGGCCTTCCAGGTCACTATTTCCATTTCAACATGGTGCTAGAATTTGGTGACCAGTTAATTTTTTTTTCTTTAAATATATAATTTTGAAAAGGCTGTCCAAATTATTAAGCAGGTAGATCACATTTGGTACCTATTTCATACCTTTTTTTGGTGGTAGACTATTAAGAATAAACCATAACATAATTTACAAAAAAAAAATTCACTTTGCGATCAGCTGGTAAGCTGTATGTTTGGCATCTGAACAGCAAACTGGCACTCTGAAGCCAACATCACTACTTTATCTTCCCAAAGCCAGTCTCCTCCTGGGTTCCTACTAAGAGGAATGTTACAGTTTGGATCTGAGGTGTCCCCCAAAGATCCAGGTAGTAAAAGCTTCTGTTACAATGGGCTGTCTTGCCATAGGTCCAGAAGGTCAGGAACTAGAACTGCAAAACTGGGCGCCAAAATAAACCTCTTCCCTTATAAGTTGATGACCTCAGGTAACTGTCAGTGATGGAAAGCCAACCACAGATCTCCCTTCTCTCAACACACAGACTCATACACACACACAGAGATCCCAGAATGAAGCATGCACAAATATTAGTGGTAGTCATTCTTGGTTATAATACAAGCAATTTAAATTTTATCCTTCTTATATTGTCAGAAACTCTCTGTGCTTCCCCCTCTCGTTCTTGGTCAGTTTTACCAGGGTTTTCGATTTGATTACTCTTCACAGAATGACTTTTGGGTCTGTTTATGCAGATATATTTTTTCCTGTTCTTTCTCTTCCATGCATTTCTCTTGAGCTATGTCTTATCTGCTTTCCAACCTATCCACTGACTTCTTTTTTTTTTTGTTCAGGGAGTGAACCTAGGGATGCTTAACCACTGACCCACATCCCCAGCCCTTTTTATCTTCTTCTTCTTATTTTTTTATTTTGAGACAGGTCTCGCTAAGTTGCTGAGGCTGGCCTCAAACTTGCAATCTTCCTGCCTCAGCCTCCCATGTTGCTGGGATTCCAGGCATGCGCCATCATGCCCGGCTGAGTTAATTTATTATATTTTTCAGTTTTAGAATTTCCATGTAGTCCTATGATTTCAAGTTGTCTGTCAAACTTTATGCTTTTGCCTTTGATTTCTTAAATATTTTATTTTAAATCCTGTGTATAACAAGTCCATTATTATGATCCTGTGTCTGTTTCTTTTGTCTGTGTTTTTCTCTTGATTTTCAGTCACATCTTGTCCCATCCCTTGCCTGGTTGTCTCTGACTGAGTGGGGACATCACATATGCATAACTGAGAAAACCGTAGGCTCTGGGCGGAGTCATCTTCCCCCAGAGACTGGCCTGTACTTCTCTGCCAGAGGCTCGGGGCACTTCCACGCCCCACTTCAATCCCAGCCGGGGCCCAGGGCCCAGGGCCCCATCCTCAGGGCCCCAACTGCCTCAGCACAAACTCCCACTTCCTCAGTGCCAGCTCAGTGTCCTGGGTGGAGACGTCACGGTGCCACACGGCACGCACAGACTGCTCTGTCCAGGGAAACAGCAGCACGCGCACAGCATGGCCTGTCTGGGCCACCTCGTCGGGGCTCACAGCCTGCAGGCGCTGGCACAGGTCCGCAGCAGGCAGCCCGACCACCTTCACCAGCACCATGTTGGTCTCCACAGCAGCAGGATCCACAGAGCAGTGGGGCGATGCCAAGGCCTGGAGTCCTGTGCCAGGTCCTACAGTGAGTAAAGCCCAACCCCAGGACCCCGCCACAGCCCTACCACCCAGAATTGTCAGCTGGGGAAGGCAGAGGGGCAAGCAGCTGCCACAGAAGAGCACCAGTCCTGACATGGCCTTCGGGATCACAGGGACCTGTTTACTCATGTGACCTTAGATCAGTTGGCCTCTCTGGGCCTGTTTTCTTATTGCTGAAATGGGTCACCATGAGGACTCAGTTAATGGAGGAAAGACCCTAGTTAGAGGCCACCCTTTGATTCTGCAGAGAACCATGATCCTGTCTCCACCAAGCACTTCCTAGCTTCACTGCGTGGAGCAGGGCTGGTGAGGCGAGTTGGCCTGGGTCCCACCCTAGAGACTCAGTGGCAAAATCAGTATCCTGGAGGCTAGGAGGGTGCAGACCTGCTGGGGGCTTGGGCCTGCTGCAGGAGATCCCCCCACAGGTTGGAAGGAGTCGAAGGGGGGGCACCAAGCACCTCTGGCAAACCTCCGCGCGTTCTCGTGGTCCCTCGGCAGCTCTTCCTCTGCCTCAGCCAGTCCCACAAGGGCGGCTGCGGCGAGCACCCCGGCTTGGCGCATGCCCCCACCCAGGGCTTTACGGAGTCGCCACGCTTCTTGGATGAAATCCTTGGGCCCCCCGACCAGGGCCCCCACTGGTGCACCCAGACCCTGTGGGAAGAGAGAAGCCTCCTACTGACCCATCGGCAGCATCTGGAGTCCAGGACAGCTGCCAGGTCAGGAGCTCAGGGAAACTCAGCTCCTTCTGCAAGGCACTCCCACCCCATCTGTCTGGAGGACCAGCCCAGGGGCTTCCCCACCTTGGAGAGACAGAAGGACACAGAGTCACAATGCTCCACAATGCGGGCGGGGGGGACACGCAGAGCCACAGCTGCATTCATCAGTCGAGCTCCATCCAGGTGGACACGGGCCCCATGGGACTGGGCCAAGAGGTGTACCTGGGTGAAGTGCAGGCAGAGGTTAATGGGACAGGTGATAGGGCAGGTCTCTAGGAGGCCCCTGGGTATGGCTCTTGAAGAATTGAGGGGTCTGGGGCCACCTGAGTGGTTCTGCTGTGCTGCCTGAGCCTCGGTGGTGCTTTAACTTGAGTGGTTTAGGTGCCCAGGATGGAACCCAGGGCCGTGGGTGTGCCAGCTTCCTGCAGTACTGGGGACTGAACCCACTCAACTCTTCTTTATGGAGCACTTGCCAAGGGCCAAGGACATAACGTCTCATTTTGTTTAAGCTGCATGACAGCAGCAGGAGGCCCCAAGGAGTGCAGGACATAGAGGTAGGTGGCATGCCCACACAGTCACTTGGGGAGCAGAACTCAGCTGCGGCAGCCTCCTGGCCCCCTTGCTCCTGCTAAGGACCAGGGGAAGTTGGAGGCGCACCCAACAACTGCTCACTCCACAGCCTCACCAGGAGCATGTTCCCGGGCCAGGGCAGCTGTCCTCAATGCTGCTTTGGAACTTGGCTCTCAGCAGAGTGTGTGTGTGTGTGTGCACATATGTTGATGCCTACATGTGCACACAAGTGACATCTTTGTTCCTAAGCAAGTGCAGGGACTAGGGCCCCTAAACTGAACAGTGATCCCCTTTGTATCTTTAGCCTAGGGCCGACACATGTTCCCCCATGATACCCTGCCCACTAACACACTAACAGGTACCTGTGACATGTCAGATAGGGGTTCAAAACACACAGGAAGCCAGGAGCAGGCTGGTAGTGGGGGCAGTGGCGGGGCAGAGCCTACCTGGCGGAGGTAGTCGATAGGGAGGACCCGGCCCCCTGAGCTGCTATGTGTGTTCTCTAGGCATACAAGCTCACAGACTGGGTGATATGGGTTCCCAAGGCCCCGAGTGATCACCCTCTCCAGCTCATCCAGGTCCAGGGTCCCATGGGGCAGGTCTGGGAGCAAGTGAGAGTGCACCCCAGCAATCTGCAGGTAAGGAAAGGGGTGAAGGATCAGGCAGGTCCAGGGGTCCAGCTGTACCTCCTGGTGGATGGAAGGGGTCCTCTGGAATAGGGAGCCAGACCCCAATCTTGTGCCTGCTCCTTCCCATCTCGGGGTTTCAAGGACTTTCCCTTGCTCTGTGCATCCAGACACAGCATCCCAAGTGAGGAGGGTGTAGGCCCCTGGCCCGTTTTCATTTGAGATGTTTCCCTGTTTCCTCTGGCTCCTTCCTGGAGTGCCAGTGTTCCAAGTGCTCACTAGGGGGCAGCAGGGCACCAAGCACCAGGCAGGCAGCCGCTTCTGCCCCCACCGGCAAAGCTGAGACTTGGTTCTCCCTCCCGCCTTCCCGCCAGCTTCTGTCAGGCTCTCCCCTTTCTCTGCAGGTTCCAGCCAGGTGCCTAGGAAGCAGCACCTAGGCCACCTGTACTGGCTAGAGGATGTCCGGGCCCCAGGGGAGTGGTGCCTGGTCCTTACCTGAGCCACCCCGCCCTGCTCATAGACGTGGAGGTGGCACTCCTGCCCAAGGAGGAGCTGGGAGCCCCGGCGCCGGCAGTGACCCATCACTGAGACAAACGGAAGGAGGGTAGGACTTGGCTCTGAGTCCTAGGGTGCCCATGTGCTTCATCTGGGCTGAGCCCCAGGGCCACAGCATATGCCAATTAGGAAACAGCACCCCTTTGAGACACCTTACTGCCACGTGCGGGATAAACAGCTTGGGGATGGGATGCTGTGAATGCCGGGCCACACATCCATGACCCCACCTGCAGAACCTCTCCTGCAGGGAGAAGCTGGCCACTCTGTTGTTCCTTGGAGACTGGCAGCTCAGGGCACTAGCAGCCACCAGGCCCTGTCAGCAAACTGAGGGCACATGCACACAGTGAACCGGGAGGGGTGCTTACTAGGTGAGGCAAGTGGGGGGTACCACAGGACAGCCTAAGGGGTGAGGATGGTGTGGTTACAGGAACTGTGGGGCCAGAGCAGAGGAGGAACAGGGATCAGCCCACCTCAGTCTCTTCTGCTCCCCTCCTCCGCCAGGACACCCCAATGTTGCACCCAGCAAAAATCCAGGAAAGTTGTTCATGAACGTCACAGCCCTGGATACAGAGGGGCAGTGGGTACATGGAGGACCTGGGAGTCAGACTCACCACAGATGAGGTTGGCCATGGTATTGGTGGGCACAAACAGAGTCTGCTCCACCCCCAGCAGCTGGGCGGCCCTTTCCTGCAGCTCTGAGGAGGAAGGGGAGGGTGGGGCAAGGAAAACTATCAACAATTACCACTGAGCAGTTGGGCTGGCTGCACAGGCACAGTTCAAAGTACTTTTGTTCAGATGTGAGCCCCTTTGCCAGAGGCCAAGGTGAGTGGCCAAGTGGGCGTGGCTGGAGCTCCAGTCTACCAGCTGCACAGTCTGTGGCCTGGGTAACCACACAGCTGGGTCTGGAGGCTCCTCAGTCAACCCACTGCACCTCACCTCCTCCTCAGCCATGGTTCCCCCGACCAGGCCACTGAAACTCTCTTGTGGTTTGAACCCTGTGTTCCACCCCAACCTCACACCTGTCTTGCTTCCTTTCCCATCAGTTCCAGCAGGTGAGGCCCTGTGGTTTCTCTGCTGACTTCCTCTACCCCTAGGCGGGGAGCCTCTAGGGAGCTGGAGGGGGAACAAAGGGTACAGCTGGGGGACAAGTGGGGCTCCTGCTCTAAAGCCCATGCTGGTTCTCTGACTGTGGCATCAGGTCCAAAGGCCCTTGGCATGACATTCAAGGCCTCTGCCCCATTGCAAAAAAAAAAAAGTGTGCATGTGCTTCTGAAGCCCAGTGCCTGGGAGTCAGAATTCCCTTCCCTGCCTGGGGCACAGGGGCCATCCTTAAGAAGCACCTCTGGAAAGTCCCCCTTCCCTGTGAACCATGCACTTGCCCCTAACCCCTGGCTCCCAAGGAACGCTTCACAGACTGCTGTCAACACAGCACCTCCCTGGCTCTGATGTGGTGACTGGTTTACACAGCAGGCTGCCTGCTGAGCAGTGCCTCACATCTTTGAAACTCCTGGTAACAGCAGGTGTCTGCCCGATGCATGACCAGTCCCAATTACCCAGTGACCCTACACACAAGCCCTGGGAGTTTAACTGGTGACTAGTTCCTGGCCCAGTGAAGGGCTGTACTCAGCCCAGCAGAACCAATGCAGTGGTTCACTATAAAACAACTCTCAGCTCAGGGTGGGTTGTGGGTCCCTATATCCTTAAACCACCCTTTGGATTATTAGATCCCAATCCTAGGGAGGTGTAGCCTATGGAAAACCCCCCTTTCCAGATTGGTTTTGCTTGTCCTCATGGAGGCAGCAGAGGGTGCAGGAGAGTGGTTATGGATTTTAGAGTCAGAAGAACTATATTCAAGCCAGGCATGGTGGCACACACCTGTAATCCTAGCGACTTGGGAGGCTGAGGCAGGAGGATTGCAAGTTTGAGGCCAGCCTGGGCAACTTAGACCTATCTTAAAATAAGAAATAAAAAGGGCTGGGGACATAGCTCAGTGGCAAAGATCCCAGGGGTTCAATCCCCAGTACTGCAAACAAAAAAAAAGAAGACGAAGAAGAAGAAAAGAAAAAGAACTAGATTCAAACCCTGGTTCTACCACTGACTAGAGATGGCAGCTAGGTGTCAATGCACTGTGCAAACAAGTCACTGTGTTATCCTATTAAAATGCAGATTCTAGTTTAGCAGGCCCAGTGTGGGACCTGCATTTCCAACGGGCCGGGGGATGGGCCAACAAGCTCTCACAGTGCGCAATGCTCTGCCTGAATGTCAGCTGAGCGCCCAGTCCTGGCCGCCCTCCCCGCCAAGCACCATGGACAGCGCCCTGGGGTCATCCAGAGACGACCCCCCGCCGCGGGCCTGCATGCCCGGCTCACCGCGGACGGTGGGGTCCTCGCCGTAGTCGTCGTCCCCCACGACCGCCTCGGCCATGGCGCGCCTCATGGCCGGCCCGGGCCTGGTCACCGTGTCGCTGCGCAGGTCCACCACGTGGGCTGGGACCCCGGCCCGGCTTCCCAACCATCGTGCGCAGGGCGCCCCGAGCCTCAGGGCCGCGGCCCGGGCCAGTCCGGAGAGCATGGCGGGGGCAGCGCCCGTCTCCCAGCCCGGCGGGAGTGGCTGCCCTCTCTCTTCCCGGGGAGGCCGTCTAGAAGAAGCGGGCCGGCTAGCTCGGCGTCCAGACTGCGGCGGCTGGCTGACCCTGGCCGGACAGGCCGCTGGGCACGCTGGGAGTTGTAGTCCACGCTGCTCTCGGCGAGCCCGGGAGGGCCCCGTTGCATGCTGGGAGTTGTGGTTCGCCGCCCGTCGCCGAGGAGACCAAAGGAATGGGGCTGCTCCTGTGGCTGTCGCAGTGGGCCTGCACCGCTCCAGACACTAGGAATTTAACTCAGTCAAACCTCCCAACAGCTCTGGGAAACACTTGTCCCCGTTTAACAGATGTGGACACTGAGACTCCAGAGGCTAACGAACATTTCTAAAGTCACTTAGGTCAATTGCTGGGATCCAGGGATCACCTGTCTTCAGAGGACAGCTCTGCAGCATAGTGTTATGTTGCCCCTAAATAGAAGCCTCATAGGCTGGGGACATAGCTCAGTTGGTAGAGTACTTGCCTCATATGCACAAGGCCCTAGGTTCAATCCCCAGCACCACACACACACACACACACACACACACACACACATAGCTTCTTATTGTTTACTGTTTTCCATATAGATTTACTGAGCGCCTACTGTGTGCCAAGTACATCTAGGTAGGTGCCAAGCAGGGAACACAAGGGTGGTACTGGGTCCAGGCATACAACCTCACCAGGCATAATGGGTGATTGCCAATGCAATGTCTAGGAAAAAACCCTCTTCCACACACCCCTGCCCTGGGGGACAGGTGCCTCCACAGAGGCAGGGTAGTGCTGAAGGATACCAGTGGCTGTCTGACCGTGTGTGAAGATCAAATCCTTCACTCAGGTCTGGCGTGCAGCTCAGAAGTAGAGCACTTGCCTAGTACACGTGAGCCCTGGGGTTCTGTCTCCAGCACTGCAACAAACAAATATCTAAAAACCAACTCGACTGCCAGCTGTGGGACCTTGAACAAGTCATGCTTCCCTTTTCTCAACTGAGAAATGGGCTGCTGTGGGTATCAGTGACTGTGTGTGTCTAGCCATGGCCCTTGTGCCTGGCTCATGGGAAGCTTTATGTCAGGAGTATTCATTCTAGTGTTGTTGTGGACTCTGAGACTGTCATTATTGATAATGCTCATGGTCTAGAAGCCCAAGGCTCTGGGGCTAGGTGCTGCTGTTGGGGGGTGCACCCTGACTCAGCTCAGACCATGGGTGACCTTCCCTCACAGGGAGGACAGGGCCCGGCCCCACTCAGCAGCTCCCCTTCCTAGGGCACAGGCCTCGGGTATTGTCTGTCTCCAATGGGAGAAAGTCCGTCTGACAGGAGCCCCAGCTGAGCAGAGGCCACACCAGCTGGGGAGCCCCCTCTGCCCCCAGGGTGAAGAGCAGGCTCATCTGTCAGCCGCCCACCAGGCCTCCTCCAAGCCAGGTCTGGAGACTTAAGGAGAGCAGACACAGCCTGCCCTGCTCAGGCCCCTGGGGTGGAGGAGTGCCAGGAGGGAGCAGCTGGGGGGACCTAGTCTTGGCCCTAGAGCAGGCCTCCTGGAGGGAGCAGCGACTTGGTCCAGTGTGAAGACAGAGCAGGGCATTCACCAGGAGAAGGAGGAGGGAGTTCTTTGGGCAGGGAACAGCATGGGCAAAGCCTTGGGCAGGCTGGTGCTGGCGAGCCCAAGGCCCCAGAGCGGCTGGAGAAGTGAGAGGGATGGGAGATGGAGCCCAAACCCTACCTCCAGGTTGAGACCAACTCTCAGGACTCAGGCCTGGCAGGGCCATCCTGAAAGGGTGGGATGGCAAGTCCCTGTTGGTCTGGGACCCCAAGGACCCCTATAGAAGTAAAGGGATCACTGCCCTCCCGAGAGCAGGAGTCCCCCTGGTATGACCTGCACTCTCCACAAATTCGGCCCTTAGAAAACAAGGTCCTTATCTCATTGTCTGGCCCAGCCCTTCTGCTGGGAAGTAGGGGGTGGGGAGCAGGGGCCTCTGTGGGAAGGAAGGGAGGTGGATGGGCTGGAGCAGCCATGCCGCTCTCAGGGGAGCCTGGAGACAAAAGAGTGGGTCCCAGGCATCTCCTAGCCACGGCCCAACCACAGAGTGGCCTCCTGTTTGAAGGTCCTTCCCTGTTTGCAGAACCTTCTGGCTGGCAGTCTCCCTGCTTGCAGGCTTGGGAAAGGGACAGGGCAAGGAGGGCAGAGTAAGCCTTCCCTGGGGCTAGTGGGGACAGAACAGCTTCCATCTGCCAGGTCCTCCTGGTCCCCAGTGGGGCCTACAGTGTGAAAGGAGCAGCAAGGGTGGACTGTCGTGGGGGAAGGCAGGGGCCTGTGGCTTCCCTGAGGCCTACTGGGGAGGGCTTCCCAGGCTCTTCCCCAGGAGGCCATCTGGGCTCGTGTGTGTGTGTGTGTGTGTGTGTGTGTGTGTGTGTGTGGCGTGCATATCTGTGGGTTCATACGTGTGGGTTGTGTATATGTTCATGAATGTGGGTGTGGTATATGTGTGTGCATGGCATACATGTGTGTATCCCTGTGTGTGTGTGTGTGTGTGTGTGTGTCCCTGGCTGCACCTGAGATCTGAGTCAGGTTCTGGTGGCAGCTGGGGACAGTCTCAGCTCCCAGGCTGGCGTGAGAAGGCTCCACAGAGCCAGTCTTCTTGTCCTCTTGCTTTGGCTCTGTGCTGACCCCTTCCCCTGTCTCTGTAACTCTGTCCTGTCTTCAGTTCTCAGCAGGAGAATTCCCACCACCAGAGGTCGAGGTGTCACCTCCTGCCCCCATGCACCAGCTGTCCCCTTCTCTCCCCACAGCCAGTGCTTGGCCAGGCCTCCTTGGGCTCTTGCTGGCCCAGCAGGTTCCTGGCCTCAGGGACTGGCCCTGCAGCCCAGCCCACTCTTGCCACTGTTTCTACCCCTCGAAGTTCCATGGCTGTCCCCGGGCCCTGGCCTGTGACATTTCTGTTCCACAGGTCTGCTAGCCTTTCCCCCACACATGGGTCTCTGCACCTGCATTCCTTCTACCTAGAAACCCCTTCTCAGGCTTCAGGTCTCTGAGAGGCCTCTTCTTCCAGGAAGCTCCTGGCCCCAGCCGAGCAGGGGAGGGAGGTGGCCCACCTGGGGAGGCCTGCCGCTCCTTTGGTTCCCACTGCTGCGGACACAGTTGTTGTGGGTTTACTCGGTGAGCTCATGCTCCAGGCACACAGAGGCCCAGGGCTTCCATCCTTGAACACAGGACCTGGCTCCAGGATGTGGTAACCATCAGCTGAGTGGTTGACAAGGGAGGGACACAGCGTCTGACATCCCTGACCCTGGGGGCCCTGCAGCATGAGTGGAGAACTGGTGCAGGCCCTGCTTTGGAGGAAGGTTGGGGACCTTGCGGTTGCTCCCTCGCTGGCCGTCTCGACCTGTTCGTCAGTCCCAGGGCTGGGGGAGACGTCCCGGGCTCAAGGAGCCTCGAGATGGGAGTCCCGGGTGGGCTGCTTCCACAGCCCCCTCGGGTATGGGCACCTGCACAGGTGGCCCTGGCTCTGGGGTATGGGCACATGCAGGCACACGCACCACGCACGAGTGCGTACACACACACACACACACTCACACACACACACTCACACACACACACTCTCCCAGGCTGAGTTCAGTGTGCATATTCCTGTAAGGCTGCTGGCAGGAAGTGAGCGGCAGGAGGCTGCTGCTGGGAACGGGGCTGGCCCTGTGGAGATAAGGAGGCAGCAGATGGAGCCGGAGATAGCGGGTCCTGGTAAACAGGGCCAGGGAAATGTCCTTTCCATCCCATCCCCTTGGCTCTGAGCCCTCTATAGGGTGCTGGCCTGCACCCAGACCTGATAGCCTGTGAGTCTGGGGACACTGTCTGTACCACTAGCATCACTTCCAGCCTGGGAGCCTGGCAGGAGGGCAGGGCACTGGGCCTGGGGGCATGGCTGGGCATGGCGGTGGCATGTGCTGGTGCATGTGGGGGCCACCCCATGTCAAGGCCATCTGTGCTTTGGGAGGGTGGGAGGGGAAAGGACTGGAGCTCCCCAAGCCCCTGCATCTCCCCGCTGGTCAGGGAAGACTGACAGCAGGTCAGAGCGTCTGCCTTGCACCACCTGGGGAAGTCCACAGAGAGGTGCTCTAAAGGTGGGGGGACCTCAGGGGGCGAGCAGCCGGGCACAGAGCAGGCAGACTACAGACTGGTCACCGCGGGCTTCTGCTCGTGGAGCCCCTGCCCCGCCAAGCCAAGGATAATGACCCCCACCCCATCTGCCGGCGGCAGTGAACTCCAGGCACTGGGCCGGGGAGAGCGCCAGATCCCAGAGTTCTGCACAAACACACTTGTTATTCTTTCTAAATTATGAGATGCGGCACTCCTACAGAAAAGGGCAGGAAGCATTTTTGTACGGTGTTACCAATAAATATAAATATCAGATGAGCTCCTACACGGTGGCCACTCATATCAAGATTAGACCAGGGCCGGGGTTCCAGAAACTTCCTTCCCATCCAATCCTCCCTCTGCCAGAGTAGCTGCTTGCTCTGATGGACATTCCCTGCCTTTCGTATGGCTCTGCCCCCTGTCTGCATCCCCTCGTGTGTGTGTGTGTGGAGTGTGGCTGGCTTTGAACTCTCTGGGAGCGCGGATTCTTTTAGGTCTGGCTTCTCTGAGTAGACACTACTTCCCCAAGAGCATCTGTCAGGGCTGAAGTTCCTGCTTTGCCACCACCTGTACCTTTCCACTGTTGTTTGTGACACTCTATTTCTCCATTCTCTGGGCTGTGTCTACACTGGCTCTTTACAAACAATGCAGCCAGGAGCATTCTTTTTGTTTGTTTTGTTTTGTTTTTGTTTTTTGGTACCAGGGATTGAACCCAAGGCCACTTAACCACTGAGCCACATCCCCAGCCCTTCTTATTCTTTGTTTGGAGACAGAGTCTCGCTAAGTTGCTTAGGACCTCACTAAATTGCTGAGACTGACCTTGAACTTGCGATCCTCCTGCCTCAGCCTCCCAAATTGCTGGGATTACAGGAGTGCACCACCACACATGGCCACGTTCTTATTCCTGATTCCTGGGCTCAGGTGCCTCAGCTTCTGCAGGGCACATGCCTGGGGGTAGAACTGGTGTCACAGGACACCTCGTGAGCCATTTCCCAAGGGTAGAAATGATCTCCTCTCCCACTTCCCCACTGCATGTCTATCTCAGCAACACTTAGCGTCGTCAGACTCCTCAGCTCGAGCCATCCTGGTGAGTGTGTGGTCCTTGTTTGTGAAAACCTGTTCATGTCATGTCTCTCCTCTCTCCTGTCTTCTCTCTCTGAGGCTGGCCCTGAACTTGCGATCCTCCTGCCTCAGGCTCCAGAGTTACAGGGATCACAGGCGTGCGCCAGGGCCCGGCATCTTATTGACAAGCCAGATTGAAATCGCTGGGCCTTGTCTTTTGGCTTCTCCAGCATCACTGATGAACAGGAAGCCTTCCTCTCACGTAGTCACAGTGAGCGTGCCCCTGCTCTGTGATCCCAGTCTTGTGAAGGTCGTTCTCCCCACCTCAAGGTCATGGTGACTCTCTCCTGCCCTGGGGAACGTGTGCCCGACACAGGGAAGAGCCATTGCTCGCCCACCTGACACTTCACTGTTGAAGTCTGGCAGCACAGGAGGCATCCCTCTGTTCTGTGCTGCCCTGGTTCAGGCTGGGGTCACGGGGTCAGGGTGGGGATCAAGGGCGGACAGTTGAGGTCGGTCTGAAGAAGCGTCAGAGGCAACAGGGGTCCAGGGAAACCAGGGATACCATGACAACACCGCCATCGAAGGGCACTCAGAGGTGGCCTCTGGTCAGCCTGGGAATCCTGCCCCAGCCTCAGGAAGCCTGTACATGACAGGCACTGCCCTGGGCCCTCCTCCCAAGAGGCTGGAGCTCTGCATACTGGGATTGGAGCAACTGGTCAGGCGCCCACACTTTGGGGTCCAGGGGTGTAGCCACAGGGAGCTGTAGGCTTTGAGGGCCTGAGGGGCGGGGTGGGGCTGGGGGGCAGATTTGGAGCCTAGGAGCCCAGTCTGCAGGCCTGAGAGCAGGGTGGGCGGAGCAGGTCGAACCCTGGGAAACCCTCTGGGACCACTGCCCCCCGGCTCCCCCTGAGCTGCTGAGAAGCAGCCAGCTTCCAGGAACCTGGGCTTTGGGGCGGGGGACAGAGAAGACTTGAGGGAGCCCTGCCAACCCCAGAGCTGGGTCCCTGACTCAAGGGCCTCCCTGGAGGGCTGGGAGGCTGTGATGTGCATGGACCCTGGGAGCAGGGGCCTGGGGACTGAGTCCCAGGGGTTCCTGCAAAGCTCTGGAACAGACTGAAGCCCAGGGAGTATCTAAGCCCCCGGTCCAGGGCCCAGGCTCCAGCTGAGTCCAGGGCACACCGGAGCCCCTGCACCTCGCCCCACCTGCCCCGCCCCACAGCCTCAGGCCTGCTGCTGTAGGCTGGGGCCTGTGCTCAGTTTGACATTATTTACCGCCGCAGTTTCCTCCTCCTTCCAGTAACTTGTCCTCCAACTTCAGGCAGCTTCTGATTAGGCAGCAAGACCTCTAATCTCTCTCGGATCTCGTTTACCGGCATCAGGGCTCTTGCTTCCTGTTACTGGGCCTGGACCCAGGCACAAGGGTCAGGTCCCTGCCTGCCTATGCCCTTGCCTGTGAGGGGCCCCTGTTCTGGCCCTTCAGCCCGCTGGTCAGGAGGAGGGAGGGTCAGATGCTGGCATGGCCTGCGGCAGCCATCTAAGGGTAGATCCATTCCACAGGCACTGGCCCAGTGCTGGGCACAGGGGCCTGAGGGTGAGTGGGCCACAAGCTCGAGGACCAGCTCAGGGCAGTGCCTGCTTGGCAGAGTACCCGCAGAGAGCACCCTTCCCCTGAGGCCCTCCCTTTTACCCTCTTCTGCTCCTGCAGCCACAGGGCCAGAGTCTTTGAGGGAAAGAACAAGGAAGGTGTCCGAGACAGACATGAGTGGGATTCGTGTGGACAGAAGCCAAGGCTTTGGCTCTGCCCTGGAGATGCAGAATTCCAGGACTCGCTCACCTGTCACCCTGGGTGGGCTTCCCTGACTACTGCAGTAGGGTCCTGGCATCTCAGTGACAAGGGGTGTGGGCAGGAATGGTGCCCAGCCCACTGAGGGCCTGAATCCCTGGACAGGCAGTTTCCCGACAGGGAATACAGGTGGTTCCCGACTTAGGAGTTCAGCCTAGGACTTTGGACTTTGCTGTGGTGTGAGAACATTGGGTAAGAACTGCACTTTGAATTTTATCTTTTCCTAGACTAGCAGTAGGGATGCACACTCTCTCGAGATGCTGGGCAGCGGCAGGGGCTTGAGATGGTGAGAGGAAACCACGGACACCCCAGTGACACAGCTCCCCTGCGAAGCTCCTTGGACAGACAGTGTGTGTCTGACTCCCAACATTTCTGATCTATGAGGGGCACCACGACCCATTGTAAACCCGGGGGCACTCACGGCGGCTCCAGTGTGCAACCCCAGGGGTGCCCTCCAGCCGCTGGCTCTCTGCTCAGAGAGGCTCTCCGGCTCCAGAGCCAGGATCCAAACCTCAGTTACCCAGCTCTGCAGAGCGTCCTTCCACATCCCAACCCATCTGTCATCCCGTCCCCGCAGGCAGTTCTAGGTTATCTTCCCTGGAAGTCCTGCAGGGATGGACCATGCCATTGTTGGGGGACATCCGGGACATCCCAGGCCTGACCCCAGCAGCCAAAGAACAGCTGAGACCATGAGAAGAACATTTGTCATCGTGGCGGAGTTTGGGAGGGGATCTCTGGGAAGAAGGAAGGTTGGAACTCGAGGTGCCAGGACCTGCCACGGTTGGGAAGCACAAGGGGTGTCTCCTTCACATTGTTCTCCAAAACAGGGACGCACAGGGTGGTCCAAGGGGGGTGGAGAGGAGTCTACACACTTGGTAGTTATCCCCTTTCAAAGGCCTATCTTTTGCGAATAGTTTACAATACAAGTAATCTATACGTGTGTTGTCTGTCTGTCTGTGTTTTAGTAGCAGGGATGGAACCCAGGGGTGTTTTACCACTGAGCTAAATCCCAGCTCTTTTTATTTTTTTATTTTTTAGACAAGGTCTCCCTAACTTGCCCAGGCTGGCCTTGAACTTGGGTCCTCCTGCCTCAGCCTCCTGAGCTGCTGCATGACAGGTGTGCACCCCACACCTGGTTTGTGTGTGTGTTTCTTATTGGCAGATGCATGATCCAAACTGTGAAGGCCTGCAGGTTGCTGTTTTCTGGCTCTAGGTTTCTTATCCTGAGCAGCTGCCCACTGAGCTTGCTGTCCAGGGGCAGAGGGAAGGAAGACCCCTCTCTCAGGAGCCTGGAGGGCTGCCTGGAGAGGGAAGTTCCCAGATGGCTTGATGGAGGGTCAGGTGGAGATGAGGGCACAGAGGTACCATGGACATGTGTCCCCACTGGGAGGAGGGAGAAGTCGGGGCCCTGGGGTGTGAGGGAGAGGCAGCCTAGGGTGCAACTTCTGACCAGGACGCCAAGAATCCCTTACTGTGGGACAACATGCAGAACCAGCTGTAGCCTGACCCCTCCCCCAGCCCAGGGACCCCTTTGGGAAGTTCATCTCTGGAGAGCTGAATTCCATGACACACACTGTCCCACTCCTGCCAGGGCCCAGAATGTAGATTGTGCTGCCGAGCCTTCCTGACCTGGTGGGCTGTGGAACAAGACACGGGCGATCCCGGGAGTTCAGGCGCACACCTCGTGTGCCTGGTGAACCGCGGCTGGGGAGGGAGGGCCCTCAAGGGAGGCTGTGGGCCCTCAAGGTCTTGCCCACCCTCCGGGTGCTAGGGTTGGGATGTTTTGTTTCTGGCCAGGGCAGGATCTTGGACAGACAGCCAGGAGCCAGTATGGCTGGGACCATGACCCCTATTTTACTGGTGAGAAAACTGAGGTCAGAGAGGTAGAGTAACTTGCCAGCAAGCAGCACAGCCAAGATTGGAGCCCATGCTTGCTTCAGAGATCTCTGCAGGACCCCTGTGACTGCGAGGGCCCCGGTGCAGAGCCAGGAGGAGGCAGAGTCAGAGGACTGGAGGCGAGTGCAGCCCTCTTTCTCTTCTGCACCTGGAGAAGTCGAGTCTGGTTTCCAGCGTCTTCCTCCAGGAAGCCTCCCACTGCAGACCCACCCCTCAGGCAAGATAGAACTCCCCTTCCTTTTTGTTTTTATTTTGGTACTGGGGATTTAATCCAGGGGCACTTTACCACTGAGCTACATCCCCAGTCCTTTTTTTTTTTTTAATAAGTTTCTATTCCGAGATAGGGTCTTGCTAAGTTGCTTAGGGCCTCGCTAAATTGCTGTGGCTCACCTCAAACTTACGATCCTCCAGTCTCAGCCTCCTGAGCACTGGGATTACAGGTGAATGCCATTGTGCCTGACTAACACTCCCCCTTCTTCCTGCCTCCTTGCACCTGCTTACCTTGGAGCAACCTCTGGTCACTTGCCAGAGTCCCTCACTGGGCTTCCGGGTCCTGAGGGCAGAAACTGTGTTTCTTCTCATTTTGGGATCCCTGACAGCATGGGCATTCCGAAAATACCTGAATAAATGTGATGAAAAATCTGCCAGCAGAGAGTTGGGAGGAGCTCCCTTGAGAACATGGGCAGGGAGCATGGAGGGAAGAAGAGGATGGACCCGCAGGGAGCAAGGTGGACCACCAGGGGCGGCTCCGGCAAGCGGTGACTTGGTGGGACAGTGGGTGGGACAGAGCACCATGAACAGGCAGAATGTGGGATTAGACACTGCTGTCAGCAGGATCCTGCCATGACAGAGCAAGACTTCCCCCCCCCCCGCAGGGGCAATCTGGTGCTGACCCTGAGCAGAGGAGGGGCGTGTGCTGACCGCTGACTCCTCCCGGCTGTGCCCTCATCAAGAGCTCAGGACAGCCGTGCCCCGGAGCCTGGAGTTGAGTGTTTATTTGACAGTGCTTACTGGGAACCAACTGGCTGCCTAGGGGCTGTCCGGTGTTGGCTGGGCCTGGGTGCCTGAGGCCACCTCATGTTGGTGCCAGCGTCCTCCGCCCCCCCCCCGGGCTGGAAGTCCCTCTGCCACCCTCTATATGCGCTCTCTAGGCCATGCAGGGAGGCAGGCCCCTGTCGCTGGGGAGGACTGGCGCATCCTCCCCAGGAGCCAGTCGGTGAGGTGGGCCTTAGCAGCCCCGCCCCGGGCCACAGTGAGGCCGCAGTTCCCGGAATGGGGGTTTTAAACTTTTTGTTGTTGCTGTTGGCGAGTGTGCATGTGGTCTTAATTATTTATACGCAGCACTTATCTCCCCCAAATGTTTTATCGGGCTTCGGCAGACCCGAGAGCGGGAGCGCAGGCGCGGGGCGGGGAGCAGCGGGTGCGGGAGCGACCCCAAGTCAGCCCCGTGGCCGGGACCGGTGGTGAGCGCAGGTTGACTCCGCACCGCGGCCTTGGGAGGCCGCACCTGTGTCCCGGTCACCAGTGCCTCAGTCGCGGGAGTCATAGTCCTCTCTCCGGCTCTGGTCTGCGCAGACACCGCCGGTAGGGGGCGCCATGGCCAGAGGCCAATGCTCGGGGTGCGTCCCTAGGGGACCGATCCTTCGTGTGCAGCCGCACGTATCAGCAAGAGGCCTTAAGACCGGCCGGCTCTTTTCTGGCAGGAGTGGGAAGGAGAGAACGGGGGACTTTGGCATCCTGCGTCCATCGATTTCCCTAGCATCACCTAGTCTCATTTTAGTGACCACTTGCTGGAGACAGGAGTGGTCTTATCGTGCCCATTTCATAGATGAGGAAACCAACATTCAGAGGAGTTACCCGTCTAAGGATCTCCAGCAGAGCAGGGGTTGGCATTCACGGGTTTTCAGGGATGGGTGGTCATTCCAGGCAACTTCTCAAGAAGCTGAGCACAGTGGACCCTCCCCCATCACTGCACACCCCCTCCCTGCCTAGTCCCCGCGTTTGGGCACCGCCCCCTGGAGATTCCTGGAAGTGTCTTCCGGACACTGTCACTGACCCCCCCCCCACACACACACACACAGGCCTGACCCTCCCACCAGCCTGCATGGTTTGCAGGGGCCCAAGTCCAGCCTGGACCTCTCCTGGCAGGGTCTGCTCTGGTGCGCACCATGCACACTTGGCCACATGCCTGGGTCCCATGCGCCCCACACCCAGTAAGCCTCAGGGGTCCGCGGCTGAATCAGCTGCTCTAGTGGGGTGTCGCAGGAGGTCCAGCCTGGGGGAGCCCACAACCGATAGGGCGCTGGGCAGGGTGGCCCCAGGTGCCGACAGCCGGCGTTGGGGTTTGGAGGTGCACTTGAGTCTCGGGTCCTCGTCCCTCACCCCTTCCCGGGCATCTAGGGGCCCGTGTCTCGCTCCCTGCGAGGGCTGTGCGTGCTGCTGGGGTGGGAAAGAACTTGCTCCTTGGCCGGCATCTTCCCCACGGGAAGCTCCTGACCCCTCGCCCCAGACCCTCGGGTGGGTCAGGCCGGAGCGGGACTGAACTCCACCCAGGCCGCGAGCCCAGCGCGGAGGGAAAGCTCTCCAGGAGGGAGACTCCCGCGGGCCCGGCGGCCTGGTAATTGGTTCATCGATTGACAGCTCGGTGTAGGGGCTCCGATGGGGGCGGGGCGGCCGAGCCAGGGGCCCAGCCCTGGGGAGCCCTTACCGGGCGGCCGGGCGGGGAGAGCCTCGAGCCTCCCCGGCGGCGAGGATCCCCGGGAGGCCTGCGTAGGGTCCCCCGGGCGCCCACGGCCTGCCGGGCCCCCTGGGGCCCCTGGAAGAATCGGTTCCCACTAGCCAACCTGTTCCCACAGCCAGAAGTTGCCATGGTGACCCCCTCCCACCTTCGGCTACAGCTTTTCCAGTAAAACCACTGCAGAAATCCATACTTCCCGACAGGCACGCCCCCGGCCCCCCACCCCCATCGCGCGGCCGGGAGCGCCGAGTTAACCCTGCGCCTGCCGGCCGCGGCCAGTTTGGGGGAGACAGGGGAGCCCCACTGGCGTTGGGGACCTTGGGCAGGAGAGAAGGTGGTCAGGGGACCAGGCCGCCTGCCCAGTCCCTCCGGGCTGTGGCCAAGTGACTTTAGCAACTCCAGGAAGTTGGAGGGGAGAATGGAAGCCGGCTCCGACTTAGCCACCCGCCCTCCTGCCTGGGAGGAGGCCTTGCTGGGGCCCACAGAGCCTGGGCTCCAGCCTCAGGGAGGAAGAGCAGCGCCCGCAGTCTGTGGGGCAGGTCCTGCCCAGCCTGGCCGGCAGGGCTGCTCAGACTCCCCTGCTCCTCCTTTGCCCCTCCTGCACAGTTGTCCCCCTTTCCTGAGGGCGGAGTAGCCATGGCAGGGACCTGTGCTCTTGTGGGCCACTCAGGGTTCCCTGTCCTCCCTGACAGGACCTGGGCTGCTCACAAGTCTGGGGAAGAGGCTCCTGGAAGGTGGGATCCCAGTGGCCCCCAGGGACAGGCTGCCAGGCTGTCAGGGGAGGGGCCCCTGGGGACACAGAGCAGCCCAGGCGGCTCAGTGCTACTGCGGGTTGAGTGGGGTGTGCTCTAATTGCTTTCTCTGTAGCCAGGATGAATAATTGAGAGGTCTTTGAAGAGAATTAATTAGCTGCTTATTGACTGTAAATGCTTTGCTGAGATGATAAAGGAAGGCGGGTGGCCTGTGGGGTCCAGTTGGGGCACCACTACACATGTTATTCACAGTTCCCTCCGCATGACCTGAGGCTCAGCCTTGGCTTGGCCCCTGGCCCCTGGTCCCCTGGGGAGGGAGGGGTCTGGCACCCTGCTGTAGTGCTGCCTGGACTTCTGTTTGGGGACCAGCATCCCTGTTCCCTGCTCAGCCACAGCCTGCTCCATCTATCTTCCAAGAGGCAAGATTGGGCTCCCGGCCCCTAAGGATTGAGTGGTACAGGACTTGTGTCACCTTTCAGACCTTGCCCCAGTAGGTCAGGCTCAAGTCCAGAGGCCTGGCTCTGTCTGGCAGGATCCCGGAATCTCAGAGAGAGGCAGCCACTCCTGGGGACTCCATCAGTCCCACCCGCCTATTGTGCCCCTACCCGTTTTGGGGAACTCAGGAATGACAGGAAAATAAGCAAGCGTTCTGCCCCCCCCCACCCTGGGCTGGGGGACGGGGTGTGTCAACACCCTGTCTTGGTGGGAGAGGGGTCTGCAGACAGGGCTGGCCGTCTGGACCGGAAGCACTGCCTTGCGTGGTGGGTGCTAATAATCCCAGCCGCTTCTGTCCCCACGGCCCTTCCGCCCTGCCAAGCCCAGCTCTAAGCATGTCACATGTGCTAACGGGTGGATCCTTCCACCAACCCCATGTGGACCCCGTGAAGTCAGGCAGGTAGGCATGTCTCCAAGCTGGGGCCACAGAGCACCTGGGTAAGGTTTTGTTGAATGAATGAGTGAGCGAGGGAAGGAGCGCGAGAGAGGAAGGCAAGGGCAAGGCTGGGCGCACCCACCTTGTCACCTGGCTCGAGGACCCACGCTCTGAAGGTCTGCCAGTCCCAAGGGGCGGCAGCATGGAAGTCATGGGGACTTGGGCCCTGTGGAGGACACGAGGAGGTGGTCCTGAGGGCCGTGCTCCAGGTCAGCCTGAAGAGAGAGAGCAGAAACCCCAGGCCTTAGCTGCGGGCGCGGGGGCTGGGGAGGGAGTCCTCGCCCAGAAGCCAGTTAGTGACCATTGTCCCAGAGAGCCCTGACGTGGCCCGGGCTGTGACCACTGCACAGGGGGCAGAGAGGCCGTGAGGGGTCCGAGGTGTGTGGGGGAAGGGGGATGGAACCACAGCGGGGGGTCAGAGGGATGGAGCACCGTGCTGGCCTCCTGGCCCCCACGGTACTCAGGACACCGGCCGTACTGCTCACCCCTCCCTGCTGGTGCTTGAGGCCACCGCACCCGGACCCAGGGAGGGCCAAGACAGCAGGCTTCCTTGCCCCGTCGGGCTCAGTCGAGTTCTGGACACTGCAGGCGTGGGAGGTGGAGAGCAGTCGGGATGCTTATTCCCCCACCCTCCCTCCACCACCCACGTTCCTTGGGGGCTAGCCCTCTCCCTGCCTCTCTTCCCAGGTTGCGGTCAGCCTCGTGGGCACTCCACGTACCCTGTCCCCAGAGGTCCCGGTGCTCCTATGAGACGGGTCAGCACATGCCTGCCTTGGTTCACAGCTGGACTTAAACAGCTAGCCCGAGTCGCCAAGTTCATAAACGTCAGGAGGGAGGATCAAACCCATGTCTGCCAGACTCCATGTGGCAGCAGACAGATGCCCCTTGCTGGCCCCTGGGAGCTGCTCCTTCCCTGCCTCTGCACACTTAAGTGGGAACGGACAGGCTCCTCCCCTGTGGAAGTCAGAACTGGAGCTGAGGGAGGGAGGCCAGTCTCTCCAGGTGGCAACTCTAGGCAACGGAGCCTGGGAGTGTTGCAGCCACAGGAGGCACAGACCGGGAGCAGAGGGTCTTGTTCCCGAGGTGGGGCGAGCCTGGAACTGAAGCCTGGCTTCCTTCCCTCCCTGCATTCCATCTGTCCTGATGGGTGCTTGGTGTCCACATATCTTCTCTCCTCTGGAGGAATCCCCAGAGAGCTGGGAGGCAAGACTCCTGTTCCCTCTGCCCCCGAACTCGTGGGCACGTCACCAAAGTGACCAAGCAGATGCCTGCTTCTACCTTGATATAGTTGGGATCTGAAACATCTCCCAAGGCTCATGTATTGCAGCTTGGTCCCAAGCTGATGGCTCCATTAGAAGGTGGTGGAAATTTTAGGAGGCAGGTCCTAGTTGGAGGAAGTGGGCCACTGAGGGTGTGTCCATGAAGGATATATCTTATAGCTGGCACCTTGCAGCTACCATGGGGTGAGCAGCTCTGCTGCCTCATGCACTCCCTGCCACAGTGCTCTGTCTTGCCATAGGCTTACAGCAATAGATCACTGACCGCAGATTGAGACTTCTGCAACCAAGCCAAAATGAATCTTTCCTCTTTTAAGTTGTTTTTCTCAGGTATTTTGTCACAGGAATGAACCAGTACAACCTGGATTTTCAAATCTTGAGTAGAAATGCCAATAATTTAGGGACTAGAGGCACAGCTCAGTGATAGAGTTGTGTTTACCATGTGCAAGGCTGTGGATTCACTTTGTGAATTAGGAGTATTCCCAGGGGCTGTGGCAGCAACTCTGAGTGACAATGAAGGTCCAGCAGTGATATCATATTTAGGTCATTCTGGGCTAAGTAATACACACTAAATTCTTTTTTCTGCCCAAGTCAACTACAGAATGCCTGTCATTTGCAATACTGACTAGTGACTTCCCTAACTTCCATGTGAAACTTCCTGTATCAGTCAGCTATTGCCATGATTAGGCTGCATAACAAACATAGCTTTTCCAAAAGGGAGTGAAGAGCAGAATTTAGTCCAATCCCCTCTTTTTTTTTTTTTTTTTTTTTTTTTTAAATATTTATTTATTTATTTTAGTTTTTGGCGGACACAACATCTTTGTTTGTATGTGGTGCTGAGGATCGAACCCGGGCCGCAGGCACACCAGGCGAGCGCGCTACCGCTTGAGCCACATCCCCAGCCCCCCCTCTTTTTTTTTTCAACTTCTTTTATATTTATTTTTTAGTCATAGGTGGACACAATATCTTTATTTTATTTTTTTATGTGGTGCTGAGGATAGAACCCAATGCCTATGAGGTGAGTGCTGTCCCTCTGAGCCACAATCCCAGCCCTCTTTTTTCTTTTTAATTTTATCATGAAAATATTTTAATAAGCAGAAGGGTTTTATGAATTCACATAGAACATTGCCTGGATTTCACAATTATTCATGTTATCCCATATTTTTTAATCAGTCTTTTTTTTTTTCCTGGTAAAGTATCTTTTAAACTTTGTTTATCATGGTAAGATAAACATAACAAAATTTACCATTCTAACCATTTTCAAGTGTACAACAGTAAGTAATTCACACTGTTGAACAACAGTCCATGCATAGCCCGGACATCCTCATCTTCCACACCTGCGACTCTGTCCCCAGTGAGGCGGACTGTCCCCTTTGAGCTCTCTTCAGCCCTGGTGACCACTCTTCTACTTTCTGTTTTATGAGTCTGGCTGCTTGGAGGACCTCGGGTAAGAGGACTCGCACAGTGTTTGTCCTGTAGCCACTGGCTTGTTTTGAACAGCATGTACATCTTCCAGGGTCCCTCCACGTCTTAGTGGATGTCTGGATGTCCTTCCTTTCTAAGGCTGAATAAAATGCCATGGTGTGGCTGCCCCGTGTGCTGTGTGTCCACCCTCTGTTGATGGACATTGCTTACATGGCCTTGGGCTGTCGTAGATCATGCTGCTGGGGGGTCACTCAGCTGTACCTGCCTTAGCTCTTCTGGCCGGGATGCTGGGGATTGCTGGCCCTGTGGCCATCCTGTATCTCCCACAGACTCCCCTCTGCCCTCCAGGGCTCGGGCCTGCCCCCCCCCCTCGCAGGCAGGCTGTTTTGTTTTGCTCTTGAGGTCCCAGCCGCCCAGTGCCAGCAGTGGGTTCCTGTGGTTTTGATTTGCAAGTCAGCCTCCTCTTGACCTTGGCGGGTCACAGGGTTTCTGTTTCTCGTAACTGGTACTAGTTAGTGTAGCTGCGTGGCAGGCGCAGATCTGACGATAGCAGCTGTGGCTTATGACAAGTCTGATTCTCTCTGTCCCAGCCCAGGTGGGGGCTAATCTGCCATCTCGACCTGGAGTTTAAGATGGCTCTGCTGGTCACTGCCCAGCCCCCAGGAGGGAGGCCAGGGCCAGGATGGGGCCCAGGGACAGTTCCTCAGCACACCTTCGGGAGAGGGACTGTGACAGCCAGTCCCTGGCCGGGCAGCCACACTCCTTCATGCTTCAGTCTCAGAGGAGCCTGGTGGGGGGCCGGCCAGCAGTCCTCTCACAGGACACAGAAGCTCCGGCTGCGGACCAGGGCGGGGTCTTCACTCTTCCACTCCCGCCTGCCCCACCGGCTCCCAGGAGGAGTGAGGACCCCGGGACCACAGCTCAGAGTGGGCCCTCGGTGGAGGAAGGCTGTGGCAGGGGTGTGGCTGGAGACCCTCCCTCCTGAGGCCCACACTGCTCTGGGTGGCTGCACCTGGGGGCAGGGGGACAAAGTTGGTGCCAGGCCCCTGCCTGGCCATGAGCAGGTTCTGGGTGTTTGTCTTTCTCTTTGGACATCGTTGTCCCCCTGGAGGGTAGTGCTGCCCGTGTGGCCACACAGTATCCCTGTCCGGAGGAGAGTAGCCCCTGACCAACCAGGCTTTGGTGGCCCCTTTCCATCAAGGAGGTGTCCTCGGGCTCAGAAGGGTGCAGGGCAGTGCTGGTGGTCAGTAGAGTGACCAGCCACTGGGAACGCCAGCTCTGGAGAAGTTGGGGCACAGCTCCTCGGGCCTGAGTCCTGGCCTGCCCCCGGACTTTCAGCAGAGCTTCGAGGCTTTTCCGTCTTGCCCATTCCCCACCTCCAGCGTCTGGCCCCGACCCCTACAGCGACCACCGTGACCTGGACCTTCAGTGGGCTCCCGGGGTGGAGACAGCAGCCCCTCTGCTCTCTCTGGGGTTACCTGTGATCCTGCAGTGGGTGGCCTGTGGTTGAGGTGGGTGGGTGGACAAGGCCCGGCTGACCCTCGGGCTGGCCGGGGCAGAGCAGGCCCACCCTTCTTTTCCCTTCTGTTCATGAAGTGCGTGCGCTTTTGTGCCAGGTCCTGTTCTGGGTGCTGGGGACACAACAGTGAGCCACTCAGAAGTGGGGTTCTTTGGAGCTTGCGAGATTGGGGGTCGGGCAGGTGGCTGGCCATTAGCATAGGGACTCAGACCACAGTGCTGCCGAGTGACTGTGTCTTGGTTTCCTCTGTTGTTGTGACAAATTGCCACCAGCTTCAAAGGTTAACACAGCACACATTTATCACCTCAGGTTGCTGGGGCTCCGGAGCCCAGCAGGGTCTCCCTGCACTAAAATCAGGCTTCAGCAGGCCTGGTCCCTGGCCCCATCCTCCCGCCTCCTTGGCTTGCCAGTTTCTCAAGGCCGCCTGCGTTCCTTGGCTTGTGGCCCCTTCTTGCATCTCCCAGATAGGAGAGAGGGCAGGAAGACGATAGGTCAAGGAGACGGGAGGGAAAGGAGGTGGTCACCTCGTGTGAGAAGCTGAAGCCTTTTCCTGCCTCTTCTCCCCAGGCCGGTCTTCCCCAGGCCTGTCAATCCCAACCTGCTGGGAAGTCTGCAGACGTTCCCTGACGACCTTAAAGTTACTGGAAATCCACTTCTTATGAAAATCGCCCGAGGCCCATAACCTAGGGTGCCATCCACCGGTATCTATTGATCCGATAATGGAGATGACTTCAAAGATCCTGAGAAGAGCCACCACCAGTGACCACCAGGGTGATGCCCACCCCTCTCCGTTTCCTTGAAAGAGGAGGCCGAGACCCCAGCGCCGTCTCACTCTCCCGATGGCCGGCGTCCTCCCTTGACCCGGACTGTGTCCCAGTAAATCCCCTATGGGCCCTTCCTGATGTGCCTGGAATTCCGTCTTTTCCTTCCTCTCTTTGCAGCTCTAGGGATGGAATCCTGGGGCCCTTAACACATCCCCAGAGCTTTTCATTTTCATTTTGAGTCGGGGTCTCCCTATGTCCCCAAGGCTGGTCTTGAATTTTCAATCTTCCTGTTGCAGCTTCCCGAGTTGCTGGGATTACAGGGTGGGCCATTGTGCTCAGCTTGGAATTCTTTCCTATGTCGTGTGTCAAGGACCCCGTTGTCCTGAGTTGAGGGACATCATAACCTCCTCTGACCTGTCCAGTGACATGCGGACCAGGACTGCAGTATCTCCCTGTCCCCTCTGCCTGACCTCTGCCTCCGTCCCCTTCTCTAAGGACACTCGTGCCTGCACTGAGCCCACACTGAAAACTGAGAACACCTCCCCATCAAGATCCTTTTGAAAAAAGTTAAAATTTAAAAACAATTTTAATTGCAGAGACTGAACCCAGGGCCTTGCACACGCCGGGCTCTCCCATCCTGCTCCGTCCCCAGCCCAAGACCTTATTCATCACAGAGGCACAGTCCCTTAGGCCGTGGAAGGGGACTGTGGGGCCGTCTGTCTGCCTCTCACAGTTCTAGCGAGAAGTCCCAGGAGTGGGGAGACTGAGCAGGTTGGGGGGTGCAGGAGGAAGGTGACCCTAAGTCGTGAGGTTCATGGTGGGGCGGGTCTTCAGGGAACGAGGGAGGGAGGTTTTGGTAAGGCTCAGCCCTCAGGGTCCCCTCCCCTCCCCCTCCCCCGGCTCTCTGTTCTTCTTCCACTGATCTTTCTGAGACTCTGCCCTGGGCCAGCAGAGGGAGAATCCTTACCTGGCCCTCGTGTTGTCCTGCCCGCAGTCAAGAACACAGGCACCTAGAGAGCACACGACCCCCCGGTGACATTCCTGTGGTGGGACCGGGCTGTCTGACCCCAGCGACCCTGGGCTAACCACAGGCCCTGGTGGGTCTGGTGGTGAGTGGGAGGAGGGGGCCACGTCTTGTGGAGGGCAGTGCTGCTCTCCCATCCTGGCCCCCAGGGCCTGGGACTTAACGGAAAGTTCTTAGGATGCGCTTGAGCATGAAGCTGGCAGCTCTGGAAGCCGCTGCCCACTTCCCAAACCTCAATTCCCAGCCCTGAAGGGCCGCCTCTCCTGGGCTGGCTGTCCTCAGCTCCCCTCTGGCAGGGCCCGCCTGAGTCCTGCGCTCCAGGGCCTCCACACCAGCTCCCCAACCAGCCCAGCGGGAGCAGGGGCAGGCGTGTGCCCACCCCCTCTGGGTCCCCGGGCCCCACAGGACAGGAGTGCTGCTGGTGCTCCCAAACGCTGTTAGAGTGAGTGAACGTGGCGACGTGGGCCCACAGACACAGCTGGCTCTGTGTTGGCAGGTCAGGAGCTGATCAGAGAGGGGGAAGCCCCAGCGGCTCCCACCCCCACCCGGCCTCCTGACATCGTGTCCTGGGGACCCTGGAGGGTCTCGGTTTTCATCCCGGGCTCCAGCCCTCTGGAGGGCTGATGGGCTGGACAAGCCCACCTACCAGCTCCCCTGGGGTCCTGCCCCAGCCTGGCCCTGCAGGTGGAGGAACCCTCCAGCTCTGGACGCCAGGTCCTCTCAGTCGGGCTGAAGGGTGCTGGAAGGTTGGGAAGGCCCAGCTCTGCACACCTCTGCAAGGGTCCTGAGATCATGGGCCCGTGAGGCCCACCCGGGGTTGGGTCATGGAGGTCAGGGTGGACAGGTGGCCTGCCCAGAGGTACCTGCCAGGGTCATGTGGGCACTGCCAGGTTACTGCCTGGAAAGACCTGTCCCTTCCCTCTGCCCCAGACTGGAACGCTGATGTGGGGAGGAGGGCCCCAATATTGGGCAGCCCTGGACAGGCCAGTTGGGGACAGAGAGCATATTGGAAAGGCTGACCTTCTTGCCCCAAAGGGCTACTGTGGCACCCAAGAGAGGGCTTCCTCACTTCTGGGAAGGAGTCCCTTCAGCCCCCGCTGTCTCCGACTGTGGGTCCAGGGAGGCTGCAGAGCAGCCTGCTCCTGGGCCTGAGGCCGCGTGGGGGCGGGGCCAGGATGCTGCAGCAGCCAGGCCAGGCTGTCTCCTGGCTTCTTCGATTGCTCAGCCAGCACGTGGACAGACTCATGTCCCCTTTCACAGGGAAGGACACTGAGACTCACAGGCTGAGCCACTTCCCAACAGGCCTAGGTGACCATCTGCCCTGCGCTGAGGGAGGCTGGCTGTGGCCCCCACTCCCACCTCCTCCCCTGCACCCCACTTGGAGTCTTGCTCCTCCCCCAGGATCTGGTAAGACTGGGTTTTAGGGCAGGGGTTGGTCAGGGAGGAGGCCCCTTCCCCCAGGAAGCCCAGGCAGCAGGAGGGCCCTGAGACAGAAGGGCAGAGCTAGCTGGGCATGGGTGCCTCCCTTGCCCACCCCCAGGGCCTCAGGAGGCCACCTGGAACAGGAGCAGGGGTGGGGCCAGGCTGGGCCGGGGCACAGCTGGGCCTGCAGGAGCTGCGGAGGGGCCGCTGGGGAAGGGACTTACCAGCAGGCAGCTCTGCAGGACCCCAGGAGGCTTCCTCACTTCCAGGAACACAGGCCAGGGTGGGGGAGGCGCTGCCCGGGTGCCAGCTGTGCCTGAGCCAGGCCCGGCCCCTCCCCTCAGCGCCTCCCACCTGCTGGCTCTCTCCCCAGCCCCCCGGCCCCCTCCCCTTGCAGCCCAGGCCTTGACACCTCTTCCCCCAAAGGGCCCGAGGAGCTGGGCTGATGCAGCTCAGGTGCAGAACTGCTGGGGCCCTCGCACAGCTGGACAGCACAGAAGGCCAATGGTCACTGCTGGCAGGGTTGGTGCGGCCCACAGAGGGGCTGGGGACACCTAACGCCCCCTTCCCAACCTGGCTCCCAGCCTAGGCACCTTTCCAGCTGTCATGAGCATCTGCTGACTGCAGCCTGCTGGCCGGGAGTTGTGGCCCAGCTGCCCTGTTGGCTGGTTGGGGGTGGGGAAGCTGCACCCCACTTGCCTGGGTCCTCCAGAGGTCGATCTGGAGTACTGACGGGGCCTCTGGCCTCCATGCTGGGGCAGGGCGGCCATCTAAGGTGACATCCCCACCCTCCCCCCTGGCTCCTCTCCCTGCTGTCACCCAGGGTGGAGGGTTTACTCCAGGGTGTGGGTGGCATGTGTCCCCACTGCCTGGAAAGACCTGCCCCTTGGCAAGACATTAACCACTTAGATGCAGGGAGCTGGGGCCTGGGCTGGGAGAGGCCTCTGGGCAGGTCCTGGGCCTGCAGGGTGGCCCAGCCTTTCCCTGGAGAAGGAAGGGATGAGCACATCTAGGGAGTGAAGCCCCCATCCCCACCCTCTGAGCCAGAACTCCACCCCTGCCCTGGCCTCTGCCAGACTCCAAGGTCCCCCAGGGAGGACATCAGCTGTGGGAGGTCAGCCCTGCAGGGGGTTCAGGGGTCAATCCCCTCTGTGCCTCACCTTCCCAGGCTCTGAGGGGCTTCTCTCCAGGGGCCTCCTAGTGGCCCTCTGCTCACAATCTTGGGGTTCAGGCCTTGCCCATCTGTGCTTCCGCAGGTCAAGGCCCAAGCCCACCTGCCCCTGACTAGGGCTGCAGAAGAAGGCATTTCTCTGATTTCCCTGGGCTCCAAGCTCCTTTAGCAAGAGGAGGGGCCAGAGTGGTTGCAGATGGGACCTGGGGGCAAGAGCAAGGGTCTTTAAACTCCTACTAGGGGCGTGGACTAGTTGAGTTTATGCAAAGTACAAGTAGATGAAGTCCCACCCAACCTGTTAGGGAGGATGAGGAGGATGAGGAGGAAGGAGGCTTCAGAGGATTAATTCCCATGGAGAGGTAAAAGCCGAGAGAGCTGCACCTCAGACATGCACAGATAGGAGAGATGGCTCGTGGCAAACCCTACTGGTTCCTCTACTCGCTCATCCATCCATCCATTCATCCACCCATCCATCCATCATCCATCCATCATCCATCATCCATCCATCATCCACCCATCACCCATCCATCATCCATCATCCATCATCCACCCATCCATCCATCATCCATCCATCATCCATCATCCATCATCCATCCATCATCCATCATCCATCCATCATCCACCCATCACCCATCCATCATCCATCATCCATCATCCACCCATCCATCCATCATCCATCCATCATCCATCATCCATCCATCATCCATCATCCACCCATCACCCATCCACCCATCCATCCATCATCCACCCATCACCCATCCACCCATCCATCCATCATCCACCCATCACCCATCCACCCATCCATCCATCATCCACCCATCACCCATCCACCCATCCATCCATCATCCACCCATCACCCATCCACCCATCCATCCATCATGCATCCATCGTCCATCATCCATCATCCATCATCCATCCATCATCCATCATCCATCATCCATCCATCATCCACCCATCCATCCATCATCCACCCACCCACCCACCCACCCATCCACCCAGTACTTACTTGGCAAATCCTTGGCTGGTGCCTGTGATGGGCAGATGCTGTTCTGGGGGCCAAGGTAACAGTGCAGACAAGACGCCTGCTCCGTGGACCTGGAGCCCCTGTGGCGGGAGAGCAGAAATGCCGAAGACTCGGCTGCTGGAGCAGGAAGAAGGAAGGCGGAAGGTGGCAGGTGAGGGCAGGAAGGGAGGCAGCATGCACCATGGAGGTGAGACTGGAGCCAGCACGGGGAGGTGGAGAGGGGCGCGGCTGCAGGGGCGGGGCCTCTGGCTGCGTTTCCTGAGTGAAGAGGCTGGCGAGGGCCCGTGTGCGGCCCAGGAGCTGGGGAAGTGGTGGGAGGAGTGGGAGACCCTGGGCCCGGACTGTCGCCAGGTGGCGGGGCTCTGGCCACGGCGGGCCGTGGAGGTGCTGGGAAGTGGTTGGCTTCCAGGTGTGTTTTGGGAAAACCGTCACATTTCCATCTTATTTGCATGAAAGGAAGACAAACATCCGTGTGTTCTGTGTTTAGGGACAGGAGC